GGATATTCTTCTCCGAGACAGTCCATGCAGGCAGCCTCCCAAAGCTATCTCGAGACGCCTCCCTCCACCCGCCGCCACACCCTCTGGGAATGCCTGAGTCAGGACAGGCACTGTAAGCCCCTGAGCTGCTGGGCTGGATCCCTTCGGGGGAACTGAGTACCAACCCACAGCCACATGGGGGCGAATGCAACTCTCCGTCCTCACCATAGGAAGCACCTGTGCTAACGGTTTCCAGCCATAGTGTCCCCATCCCAGTGGCAAGCATCACTGTGGGTCCTGGGCTAAGGAGCCATCCGACCCAGTCGCTCCCACAGCCTCCGGCTCGCTTTGTTGTTTTTAGATTTGTCGTATATACACATTTCCATCAGAAATACCCAAGCAACTCTGAACAGAGCGTCTCAAAGGAAGAGGCATAGGGGAAGGCGGCGGGGGGGGGGGGGGGGGGCGCGCGGGGGGGCGGCGGGGGCGGGGGCACCAAGGCATGAGCTAGTATCCTGCTCCAAACATCTCTAAGCACAGGTACAAAAATAAAGCGAACTATGACTTCATATAGATATATAGATATATAGATAAGCTAGCTAGATAGACTGTATATAGGTTTCCTCTCTATGTATATATGTGTGCTGAGGGCACCAGGCCCCACTCCTCTGGCCCAGTTCAGTCTCCTGCCCTCCCATTTCCCAGCCCCAGCTGTCTCCCGTGCCTGAAGCCTCCCACGCATGACTATTGCATCTGATCCCTGCACCCACCCACCCTTACCTAAGTCCCCCCGTCTCCTTAAAATAGAACAAATTATATGTATATATTTATATATTTTATATACAATCTCCATAAAAAATACACTGAAGGTGGTATATTACTAACTGCACCCTCCTACCAAAACAGAAGTTGCCTACCAGAGAAAAGGTCAACCAGAAAGAGGCCTGAGGCTCCTCAGGTGAACTAGTGTGTCCCTACAAATCTCTTCACACACATACACACACACATACACACACACACAGCACACCACAAACACACACCACAAATACCCACACACCACACACAAACACCCACACACCACAGCACACAAACATACATCACACACAAGACACACGCACCACAAACACATCACCACCACACACACATGCGCATACACACACACCTTCTCACACACATACTCTTACTTCCTGAGCCCAGGAAAGGAGCACAGAATAGACAGCTGGCTGGGAGCTAAAGCCCACATGAGAACCTGGGAACGCCAGAGGGACAGATGAGACAGTCCCTTCTCTGACCCAGCCAGGACACCATCTACTCATGACAGACCTTTGACTGTTGGCCGTAGGCAATTTATAAATATCCATTGATAGAGCAATGGACAATTTCCCTTCCAAGGATTGTAACATGACCACGAGTAGGTCCGTTCCCTCCACTGGAAACAAGGTTTCACAGATGCCCTCACCTCAAAGAAGCAAAAAGGCCCTATGTCCTCATGACCAATACGAGGAGAGTTGGCGTGTGTCCCTTCTGTCTACATATGTGAACACCCCACACATGGCCCAAAAGCATGCTTGTGGTATTTCTAAGGCTGCAAATGCAACTCCCCCCGCCCCAGCCCAGCCTCTCTCCCCTCCCAGACTCCCTTCCCCACCCCGCCACCTCCCCAGCTTAAACCATGCACAAGGTCAAGATCCCTGGAGCCATAAATAAGTGGGGGGAGGAAGGAAAGGGAACCTCATTGCTGTGTTTATGGGGTGGAGGGGAAGACCTCACCCCAGCTCCTAAAATAATAGTAAGCCAGGAAACCCAGCGCCAGGGAGAGGGGGAGCACGTTTCCCTGACAGCCATGCCTGTTACCATCTCGTGGGATGGGAAAGGCAGAACCAGGGACCAGGGGCAGGAACGGAAAACGTGTTCCGCTCCAATCCCCCACCCTCGCTCTCCCGGCCAGGGCTCCAAAGCTGACACCTGTGTCATCGGTTCTCTTCAGAAACCCCCAACGACCATGACAGACCCACACAGGAGAGAAAACCCGTGACCTCCACTGCTGGTTGCTGTTCTAACCCAAGCATTTAGCAATCAAGATACTCACACTCTTTCTCCTCAAGGCATGGCCAGCTATGAAGAATCATCGCTCTCATTCTTCCTGTTCCCTTATCCTACCCAGAAACCCTGGGCATCTCAAGACAAGGCTCCTCTGTGGGGACCTTTGGATCAGACTCCTCTATGAGGAATTACTCCATCAACTTCAAAGCAGGTCATGAAAACACTTCCGCCCTCTCAGCCGCCCAGCACACAAAACATCGGGCGGGGATATGTTATTTGCTCCTGAAAGACATATTTGAGAAGTATAGACAAGGTGGCCCAGAAATAAAATACTGGACCAGCGTGGCCTCACTCCCAGTTAGAGGGAGGGGTGGAGACAGACACCCCTAACTGGAAGACGAGCTGCAGGAATGCTGAAGGCCAATCCGGGCTCTGAGTGTTGGCGCACTGACTTCTTCTAAAGGAGAAATGTGTCATTCTGCCTCCTGACCCGCAAGGAGGCAGAGCTGGGGACATCCAAGAGGACAGAGGCTTCTGCTCTGGTCTTAGCATAAATCTCTCCTCTCCTGCGTCAACCAGACCAGTGGGGGGAGACCTTAACCTGCCGAAGGAAGAGAAACAGGGGAAGAACCTCTAGGTAGCAAGCCCCCCCCCCCCAACCCCCAGGGTAGCTTCCGGGTCTGAAGGCGGTCTCCGCCCTTCAGAAAAGAAGGGTAGTCAATGCAAAGGCCAAGTCCCAACCCCTCATCTCCATCCCCAGCAACGGTGGCTCAGGAACAGTTTTAGGTCCTGGAAGAGGAGGGGAGTCCACCTGCCACTTCTGCTGATGAGAACGAGCCCATGGAGCTCACAAGAGTGCTTCTCCCGCTTCCACTGCCAGAGCTGTGCCAGCCGGGGAATCTCAAACAAGGCTCCTCTCTGGGGGCCTGAGGAGACCCCCCCCCCATTCCCGGTAACAAACATGACGTTGAAAGACATCAGAGCACTATGTCCTTGTTTGCTTTGGGCACTTAGTGTTAGAGGAATTCTAGAAGCAAGGAAGCCCAGCTCAGAAGCAAGACCTCTTCCAAGACCCCACCCCCACAGTCTTTCTGCAATAACAGTACCACTCTCCCACATGTGCCCCCCAAGTGAGCCTCACTGCCACGCCCTCTCAGCCCGCCCCAACCCCAGGGCCTCACTCCTCCTCCTTTTCCAGAGATGACCTCCAACCTGCACGCAGTCCCCTTAGGGGCAGCTATGTTATCATGGGCCCCAAAGAGCAGGGTAAGCCTTGCCTTGATGTCCCTCAGCTTTGGTCCCACTGTCTTATCCCAGGATCCCCACTTTCTACTCTGTGACCCACCCCCCTCTCCATTCCCCTTCCACCCTCACCGACACCTGGCACAAGAACGTGACCTCCTCCCTCTGCCCCCGCTTGCTAACCCCACTTCCTGAAGACCCACCCCATCGATCACCTCGTTCATTCTCCAGCTGGACGGTAGCACCCCTCCTGGGACCTCTCCCCAAAGCAGCAAGTGCAGCCCCCGGGAGGGGGGAGGTTGGACGAGACAGGAAGACAGAGCTGGGCCGAGAAGTTGGGGAGACCCTGCACCCTTCCCCAAGGGAGCCGCTCCTTCCCTTTGCTCCCAGCAGCCCCTGCGACGGCCGAAGCTCCGTTCATGCAAGCAAAGCAAGCCCAAGGTTAACCACGAGAGTCTTCTCTTACGTTCCCCTGCATGGCCCTAAAAGGACATTATGTACAATTCTTCCCCAACCCGCCCCGAGCCCCCCAACGCTTTTTCTAATAAAATCGGAAGAAGCAGCTCCCGTTGCCCACGCCCCAGCCCTGGATCCCAATCCTGGAGTGGCAGTGTCGCCTGATGCTCCAGAAGTCTGCGTCTCCCCTGAAGCTACCGTTTTGCCAACCTTGGGGAAAATAAATAAAAACCTACTCAGGGAAACTCTACCTCTTCATCCTCCCCAGTTTCCTCTGCATGAAAACGACACAGGAAAACCACTGACGTCAGTTCAACCCGCGATCGTTCAGATCCCAAATCAAAAATAAACGCAGAGAGCATGAAGGAGAGCCATGATTTCTCACCCCGTTCCCCGCCACCTGGAGAACATGACGAGGGGGACACAGGCCTCTTCGAAGGGGGACAGGGACCCTGCCAGCCCTGGGGATGAAGCAGCTTTCCTGCTGAGAAAGTAGAAGCTCTAAAGGCCCCTCACACGCCCTCCCCCCCAACCCCCTCAAGGAGAGATCCAGGGGGACAGGCTGGGCGAGGCTGTGGCAACGCTGCCAGCACAGGCTGGGCAGGGCCACCACAACGACGAGCCTCCCTCAGGACCCCACTCCTGCCCCCAAACCCACCAGTGTTGTCGAGACGCGGGACTCCCTTCTCCTTACAGCTCATTTTCTTTCCCCAAACCACGGCGGCGGCGGGTCCCCCACGTGCTCGACAAGCTCCTTCTCACAGCATCTGACCCTCTTCCTGGCCCACGGAATCCCGAGCCTGACACAGCCGAAGTGTCCAGTGGAGACGCAGAATGGAGGGCCAGGCCCACGACGAGACCTGGGAATCGGTCTTTGTCTGAGCTCCTTCCACGGCAAGGCTGCCAGGCCGTGAACGGGAAGGTTGGAAGACAGATGCTCTCCCGCACGGTGGAGCGTGAAAGTCCTAGGACCGTGGTCGGCAAAGCGCGGCTCGTGAGCCACATGCAGCTCTTTGGCCCCTTGAGTGTGGCCACGAAGTTTCAATCGCACTGTACGTGCGCGCCCGCACGTGGTATTTTGTGGAAGAGCCACACTCAAGGGGCCGCAGTTTGCCAACCACTGTCCTAGGAGGCTGGAGAGGGCCCGTGGCCATTGCTCAGGGACAGAGAACATAGCACATTTGGTCCTTAGAAATGGCTGCACCCCATCGTGCACACCCTCACACAGGCCCTCCCCCCCCACCCCTCCACCAGCACCTGAATGTCTACCGGAGACACCATCCCTCCATCCCCCCAGGGACAGAGGTGCTGCATTCTTGCAATTCCCGTCACAGTCCTTGCAGGAGGTACTGAAACAGCTCCCAGGGGGTAGGAAGGCCGCTGGCCCTCAAAGACACTGTCACAGAAGGAAGCGCTCTTGGGAGGAGAAATGAGCCCACGGCCACTCGGAGAGGAGAGGGTGGCCTGTGTCCTTCCCTCGCCCCGCACAGCTGCCACCCGATGGCCAGCAACACACTGCTCCCATCACTGAGCCTGATGTGCTGGAGGTGAGGGCGTGGCCAGAGGAAGGAAAAAAAGGAGTCAGCACCTTGGTCAGCGCTGGCGACACTCACGGTGGTGGGGTCCCCCTGGAAAGCGCAGCCATAGCCCGCGGCACCCCAGCCCAGACTCTGGCTCTCGGTCCTGTACGACATCCCAAAAAGGCAAAGCTTCCCCCTCGTCTTCTCCTGTTGTCACCGGAAGGGCCCAGAATTCCAACGCAGGGCTGAGAAAGTCTGACCTAATTCATCCCGCAGACCCACGTCCCTGACACCCCACGTCGGCGTTGCAGCGGGACCCGGCCCGCGTGAGAAACTGCAGGTGGCGAGCACAGACGGGGCCCGTGCCCAGCAGAGGTGTCTGTGATTGCTGATGGGCTTGTGGCAGGGGCAGTGCTGCCCTGCAAGGAAGACCGCCACCACCCCGGCTCCCGTTAGCTGGGGCCGCGGGCCGGTGGGAAAGTGGAGTTGGATGTCCAGAGATGTGTAACATCAGCCGAAAGGTCCAGGGTCCTCCCCAGGGCGCTGGCCCAGCCCCGGAGAGATGAGGCCGTTGACAGACAAGGGCCAGACACCGCCCCTTTCTACCTCTTGCATTGAGAAACGGACTGTGGCTGCGACCGGGGTGGCAGACCCGTGGTGGAACTGTGCCCACGCGCAGCAGCTCAGCTGAGAGGAGGAAAGCACCAGGTCTGGGTGCCAGAGCGCCCAGCCCTGAGAGGGAAGCGCCCAGCAGGAGCGGCTTCCTGCTCTCGGAGGCCCCACCGGCCTCGGTCACGGGGCCGGGCTGACTCCAGTGCTTTGACTTGGCCGATGTGTGAGCAGGTGACTGAGGAGAGGTAGATGTCCCCAAACCCACCAGGACAGCAGCACCAAGAAGGAAAGACTTCAAGGAACCCGACAGCCACCTGGACCCCGGCAGCTAGCAGGGCGGCTCCTGCACAGGAGGAGAAAAGAGAAACCAGACACGCCCGCCCCCTCGGACTCTGTCCTGTGCCTGGACAGTGCCATCATCTGACGAGAGAGAGAGAGAGAGAGAGAGAGAGAGAGGTGCATCTTCAGGTATTTTAAGATGACCTCGCAGAAGCGTCTGGTGCTAACAGTTTGAACTAGGACAAGATTTGGGCAGAGCGCCCCCTCCACCTTCATTCCATGCCTCAGCCAGTTCCACTTAAATGGAACCAGGGGAAGAGAGGGGGTCCAGAGCACCCCCAGAACCCCCAGACATCCTAGATTCATCTGACCCCGTTCCGCCCACACCGGGCCCACAGGGTGGAGGGGGCCCGGGCAGAGCAGAGTCTGCAGGCAGCACGTGGAGAGCAGGGAGAGGAGCCGCCGGCGGGCTCCCCGCAAGTGGCAATTAATCAATCTGGGAAATTAGCTCCCACAAAAGGAAAGGAAGAACCCAGTCAGCGGCTTTGGATCCGCGCTCCGAGGGCGCCGAGCAGGAGGCGGGCTATGAATAGAGCAGCGGCAGCGAGGTGTGCAGCGCAGGCGGCTCCAGAACGGAGGCCCTTTGGCCCCAAGGCTCCCGCCGGCCCGGGCTGGACCTGAAGGGGCTGATGGGTGAGCGCGCGAGCTGGTGCAGGCCTGCTTCTCGGCCCTGCCGCTAAGAAGCTTCCATTCTGAACCCAAGCGTGGAAGGAAGATGCCAGTCCGGCCCTTTGCCTGCCCCCCTTTCTTCACCCAGGAACCAAGAAATACAGGCTTGTGTTTAGTTCTGGGGCAACGCGTTGCCGAACCCCCAAAGCAGGCAGCTGGAAATCAACGGCAAGCCCCCATTTCCGCTCTGGGTGGGAGATGGTGGAGAGTCCAATGGTGAGATCGGCTGAGAAGGCGTGACTCCTGTTTCAGGAAGAAAAAATCCCCGAGACGGGCGTCAGGACACCCACCCAGCTCTCCGCGGTCCAACTACTGAGCTTCCGCCTCTTTCACTGACCACAGAAATAAACAGCACTTTGCTTCAATGTACATCTATATACACATAGAGAAGCCCACACACTACGAACCTATGATTTGCACCTATATCTATATATATGCAGCGCTTGGGGGACTTAAAAAGCCGAAGCAGAAGCTGAGAGCAGTACAAGCCACCGCTTGCCTCCTCACTTGCAAAGATCTTTGAAGAAGTGAGAAAAACCCACGGCAGGAAGAGGGGAGCGGTGGGCGGAAGCAGGCATCCCGCCCTGTCCCCAGTCCACGTCCTGACCTCCACCCACCACCGGAGGGTCTGCCCGGTCCCATGTCCTAAAGACGAGGCCAGCGGGCCAGGTGTGGAGGAGACGCCGCTCTGCCCAGAGATGAAGGGGCGGAAGCAGAACAGAGGTGTGAGCAGAAGTACCGGCCAGGCCATTGGTGGTGGTGGTGGGGGAGGGAGCCGAGGCCCCGGCACCCAGCACGGCGCACCCCGCCCCGGCCCTCGGCCCGCGCTCTCACTCCGGGAGCACTTCAGAGTTGTGTCGTCACAGCAGAGTGGCATGGCCGGGGTCGTCGTGGTCCACGCTGTTGAGGATGGCCGTCTGGTCTTCCGGAAGCTGGCGATGGCACAAGTCTGAGAGGCGGGCAAAGGGGTCCGGCCGAGCGTGTCTCTTCTTCTTCCGGAGGCAGACAGCTTCGTCGGGCCACAGGACCTGAGAGTTTGGAAGCTGCTGAGCCTGGGAGGCAGGACCGTCTAGGGAGGTGGGACGGGCGCACAGGAGAGGCAGAAAGAAAAGAGAGTGGGTGAGAAGGAAGACCGCGGCCCTCGCACACGCACCTCGCGCACCTGCTGGGACGCATCCTCCGGGCTTCGGGCTTAAACAAATGGGTCTCTGAGTACACGGGGGACCAGAGCAGAGAGAGAAAAACCGCCTTCCTCACCCCAGAGAGACTTGACTGGGAGGCCCATCCCACAGAACCCACTCCACGGCTGCCCCCCTCCTGCTCCCCAGAGTCAAAGAAGCAGGTGGATCTAGCCAATCCTTATTTCTATTTCATCTTTTATTTAATCTTGAATATACTTATGTAACATATTTTATAGAATATTCCTTTTTTTCTTCTTTTTATTAGAGAAATACTACCCTGGCCAGGTGGCTCAGTTGGTTGGAGCCTTGTCCCAAACAACAAAAGGTTGCAGGTTCTCGTCCCGGTCAGGCATATTGCAGGGCTGGTCCCCTTTCTCTTTCTCTCCCCCTTTTCCTCTCTCTCTCTCTCTCTCTCTCTCTTTCTAAAAAATGATCAATAAAAAACCTATTCTTAGGTAACGGTTTTTCTAAAAGGAATATTCATATGTCTTTTTTGTGCCACCTGAGTACCAGGCACCATTCTAGGTGCTGGGCTTGGGGCTTCACACATTTGTTTTCATCCCACTCACCCCCCACCCCTTCCCTTCAAGCAGCGGTGGGTTTTACACGAGAGCTCCGTCATGTGCATAGAGTCGGGCCTGGTCCTTTCTGGCGCCTGGGCCACGCCTCTGCCTCGCGGCCCTGCTGGGGATAGAGATCCAGCCCTTGTTTTCCGGAAGATTACACTTCAATGTGGGAGTGAGGAAGCCGGACAAACTGTAAGACTTAAAAACTACAGAAATCAAAGGTGCGGACACTGCAAGTGCTACAGAAAAAGATAAACCAGGGTCACGAGGAAGCAAATGGCTGAGACACTGCTGCTCTGACAGAGAAACCCTCACGAGCCTTGCAAAGACCCAAGGCAACGTGTTCCCGACAGAGGGATGTCACGTGGGAAAGCCCTGAGTTAGGAGCACACGTGACATGTTCCAGAGACAGGAGGAAGGCCGTCGCAGCTCACGCCGAGTGAGCAGAGAAAGCAGGGCAGGACAGGCAGGCAGGGCGGCCTAAGAAGTTCTTTATTAAAAAAATACATTTTAATTGATTTCAGAGAGGAAGGGAGAGGGAGAGAGAGCTAGGAACATCAATGATGAGAGAGAATCATTGATCGGCTGCCTCCTGCACGCCCCCCCACTGGGGATCGAGCCCGCAACCCGGACATATGCCCTTGACCAGAATCAAACCCAGGACCCTTCAGTCCACAGGCTGACACTCTATCCACTGAGCCACACCGGTTAGGGAAAGAAGTTCTAAATCTGTGCTGGTTTCAGTGGGAAGTTTCTGGAAGGTTTGAATCAGAAGTATGCGTGCATGTGTATGCGTGTGTGTGTGTGTGTGCGTGCATGCATGTGCATGTGTGTGTGTGTGTGCATGAGTAGGCACATGCCCATGACTAAAGGAGAGAATATGTGGTTACATTTTCTAAAGGTCACTTTGGTGGCTGTGTATACAGTAGACTGTAGAAGGAGCCAGGCTGGAGGCAGGAGGACCCAAGAGGAGGCGCTTGCCGTAGTCAAGGCGAGGGAGGAGTGTGTGTTAGAATGTGCAGTTTTAGCAGCTGAGACAGGAAATAAGTGGGGTCAGATTCAGGATATGTTCTAAGCGCTGAGCCAACAGACCTTCCCAATGGATTGGATGTAAGAGCAAGAGAAGAATCGTGGTGGAGGGGCCTGCGTGCCTGGGCTGGTAGCAGTGCTATTTGTGAAACTGGGGAGGAACAGAGAAAGATTTGGAGAGGATAATCAATAACTCTGTTCTGGGCCTTAGAAAGGCTTCTAAACTATCCAAATGCAGGTTCAGCGGGCAACTGGAAATATGAGACTTGAGCTCATGGAATAGGCCTGGGTTAAAGACATCTTTGAGAGTTTTTAATATATAAAGGAACAGGACGAGAGAACGTGGACATCTGATATGCCTTTTTTACAAAAAAAAAAAAAAGATAGGTGATAGATGATAGATAGATAGATAGATAGATAGGTAATAGATAGAGGTCTTAGGCTGAAATGAGCTTATAGGAGTTGAAAATTCAGCTTTGAGATCCAGTTTCCCACCCAAACTCCAAAAACTTCATTTTCTTCTTTTTTCTGCCTCAGTATTCCCACCTATAAACTAAAAGGATAATAGCACCACCCAACGGTAAAGTGAGAAATAAGTGCTCCCATTCTCCCCAAGATTCAAGAGGCCTCTGAGTAACACTTCCCCGTAACCCCGTCTCTAAAGCAAGTTCCTCTACAGCAGCCATTCCAGACTGACAAGATCCTGTTCCGCCGTTTTCTCTGACCGCCTGTCACATCCCTAAAACCACTGGTACAAAGAGAGTATGGGGGAATATTAAGGAATTCTCTACATCCAAGAAGGGCTGACCTGGTTTTACGCTCTTAGCAGCCACCTATTAACCTCTGGAGAAACGTTAGACATAATTCGCGAGAGGTGACCTTTTACAAAGCGAGATTCCCCTCTCTCCTTGAGAAAAACATGACCAACTGCAGAAGCTAGGTCCCTGCCACAACGTCCCCTGACCACGGAGCGGGACCCCGACATTCCCACGCCCACCTAGAAGGCCCGAAACGACAGGGAGGAAATACATACGGAGATCCAAGCGTTGCAGAATGGATAAAACTCCAATACGATTTAGGTTGTTTAAAAATAGACTAACACAATACACCAACTTTCCTAACGGTGTATGCAGAAGGGCTCTTGAAAACACACATGCCACGGAGAGGAACGGTTCCCAGACGGGAGGGAACAGAACTGGAAGGACAAGCAGAGATTTTAACCTTCTCTTTCTTATTCTTACATGACAATTCGATGGTGCGTTCGTTGCAAATTCGAGTTCAAGAGAAACAGAGAGTGAGAGAACTGATGGGTTCAATCCTAAAGACAACCCCAGGCCGGGGGTCCCGAAGGAAACAACCCCATAATCATGGCGGGCGAGGTGGAAAGGGGAGCGAGGCGCTTCCCGCCATTTACCGGATCGTTTCTTTGACTTCGAAGAGCCCTTGGATGACTTTTTGGGCTTCTTTATCCGTTGGTACTTCAGAGCCTCCAGCCTCTCAGGTGCAGCGGCGTTCCCGGGGGCGGGTGGATGTGTCCTGCAGAGGGACAATCAGAGGGCGCGGGTCAGCCCCCGGACGGGGAGCCTTCGAAGCAGGGCCGGAAGAGCAAGAGCCGGCCCTTCGGACAGAGTGCGGTTCCATGGAGTCCCAGACCCACGAGGGCTCCCGGCCCCTGGCTCCCTGTTGCGCCTGGGAGACAGAAAGGCCAGTGAGAGCTGCAGCTTCGGGGGTGCCCACCTTGGGTGGGCGGGCCTGCCGAGCAATCAGAAGACCTAGAAAAGGGAGAGAGACTTTAGTAGGGAGCCCATCACACAGAACTCAGGCCGGAGGAGTGAGGTTCGGAGCAGGAAGCCGCTTCGGCGTCTGAAGTTCTGAGAAGTCATCGCCATCAAGACCTTTAAGAAAAAAGTGAAAGCGCAGATTAAAGCGGGAGGTGGGCAACCCCACCCCCCACCCACTGTCCGCCTCCAGAGAAGAGAAGGCCAGCGCCAAACAAGAAACCCGCCTCCAGGCTCCTGCTCTCCACGCACGAGACTCGGGGAGAACCCCGCAGCTAACAGCACCCCGGTACTCGCGGCCTCCCCGGCCCTCTGGGGGCTGGGCTCAGACTCCTTCAGTCGTGTGAGAGAATGAACAAAAGGAAGAAGTAGATTGCGATGGTAAGAGAGTCCAAATCCGCAGCCTTGCAAAGCCCATGACAACTGTAGCAAGAATCCCATGAATCTCTCTATTTTAAGATTCAACGGAGAAACAGGTTGTTGGATGAGGAGACCATGCCTCGTGGCCTCTCTCTCTCCCCCAGCCGAGTGGATAGTGCCATGCGCCTGGCGGACCAAACGCATGATTAGAACCAAGTCGATGATTTAAGAGAAGCCCGTGCAGCCCAGGTGACAGAGGGGACCGAAGAGAGCTGAAGGACGACTGCCTGTGACCATCTGTGCACCCTGGAGAGAATGTTTTAAGAGCCGTAAAAGAAGAAAGTCTAGAAGATGCATTATCAATGGCGTTTCTTCACAACGTGAGCCAAACGTGGAGCCTGAGGGACAAAGTCACTCTCTTTCCCACCAGAGCCGGCATCCGCACGCGGTCGGTCGGTCGGTCGGTCGGTCGATCGGGGAGGCCGAGACCTCCCAGGGCCACAGGGAACTGCACTCTTGCCTCAGCCCCCTCAGCTCCCTCTTCCAGCTCCATCGCAACGGTCTGCGGTCAATCCTGATGAGAAGGAGTAGGACAGACACCCTGGGACGGGGAGAGAAGTCCTCAGCGGTGAGCAAGCAGTTCGAGGCATTTTTAAAACATGAGAAGGGGCGGGACGATCGCAGCTGCGCGGCCCCAATACGGGACTGTCTTTGTGGGAAGGCGGGAGAAGAAACTTACAGACGAACGAATGTAGACACGCCTCTGGCCTCTGGGGTTTCCTGCAAGAATTGGCAGTGAAGCAACCTTCCTCTTCGTGGGTGGATGGCATCCCTCCATCGCCCTTCAGTAAATAAAGTATCAAGAAGCGCCTCCAAAGTTCGGGTCTGGAGGCGACGTCTTGGTCTTCCACGGCCCCTGGCAGCACGGAGCTCAGGAGCCCCACCCTCCACGCGCACAAAGGCACTCGGTCCAACTCACCATGGGAAGGCAGGTCTCCCACCCCAAACACCAACCCGCCAATCCCCCATTCCTTCCTCCTTCCCCAGCTCCGCAGTCTACCCATAGAGATCCTCACGGCAGCAGCTGGAAGGGAAGGGGGAGGCGGGCACAGGGTGGAGATGGCTACAGCAGGAGGGGCAGGATGCTCCAATGCTGGTGGGGTGTCCTCACCCCTTCTCAGTCTTGACTAAGGTGTCTGCATGGAAGGAAGCTCACAGGTATACACCTGCTGTGCGGTTTGCCCGTCTCCAGGGCCCAGCCAGCCTCCTGGGAGGGACCCCGCACAGTGAGTGATGCGTGGTCTGCGTAGCAAGTGGGCCCAGGAAACATCACCGTCAGGGCTCGAGAGACTCTACAAAGTCTATGGATTCTCCAAGCCAAGTGACACCTCCAGGGATGTTTTCATTATTACAATGCACAAATTGTCACTATTCCCGTGTTTTATCACATAGCATCCATTTACCACTTACCAGGCCTGGCAGTAACCTACTTTCTCTACAGCAATGTTCTTTCATCCTTACAACAACCCTTCGGGGTAAACACTACAGAGTGGCCCCATTTTTCAGAGGGAGAAACTGAGGTGTGAGGCCAGGTAGCTGGTCCAATTACCCAGTGACTACAGTATTTGATAGAGCCAAGATTCTCAACACCAGGCGGCCCTATTTTTCCAAACTCTTCCTAATAAAGCGGGTAGAGAAGCCACCCGCAAAGAAAAGTCCTGCTTCCACGTGTCATTTGAGAAATCAGCCGGCCAGAAGGAACTCGCTGGGGTCATCACTGACAGTCTCAGCGGTGGGGGCAGAGTCGGGCTGAGACACACCTGGGGTGGGGCAACGCTGGCTGCTCCGGGCAAAAACTCCCAAACAATCCTGTTCCGCTGAGGAGGATAAGTTCATTTTCTCTTGGAAAACAGCCAAGCTTGGGCCCTGCCAGGACACCGGCTGGTCACCTGTTCCCACCTTGAGCTCAGCCCTCAAATGCAGAACCACGACAGGAGAAGGCTCCTGGAGGCACCAAGGCACTCTCCCCAGGCAGAAAAAACCCACAACCAAGAGTCTAGCGGGACAGTAGGGAGGGAGGGTGAGAGGAGGGCAAAACGGGTCTTTATTTTTATCGAATTACACAGAAAAGATATGTGACATGTGCTCCAACCAGCTTCGTCCGCCACCTGCCAAGCCCTTTGGAATCAAATCGCCTCCCTTTTCTAGGAGGGTGACCATGTCCGTCAAGGTCAAGCTCACCTGGGGCATTTCCAGGTCATGAGGCCCAGGGCGCTGGTGTCTCTCGGACTCAGGAAGCTTGGGTTAAGCAACTCCATCTATAAAGGTGGCAAGTGCACCTGAGGTTGGCTTGCAGGTTCCCTAACAGGACGGAATCCAGCCCTGGGCTCTCCGGGAAGCTGAGCTCCCAGTTTCGTTCCTGACCAGTCCCTTCTGCTCAAGCATCCAGGAACCCACAACTCTGGGTGCTCCGTCTCCCGAGGAGTCAGAGCGTTACTGAACAACGAAGGCCTCGGGCTCAGGGATTTTCCTGGATCTGCCGTATCGCCTTCCCCAGACACTGCGAGTAGCATTTCTCTGCAGGTCAGAACTACCCAAAATTGCCTGGAATTGACTTGATCTCTCTCTCTCTCTCTCTCTCTCTCTCTCTCTCTCTCTCTCTCTCTCTCTCCCTCCCTCCCTCTCCCCATAAAATCCATACAAAATCCAAATCATGACCATTTAGCTAAGCTTCCCTTAGCTGCTTAGCTCTATGATGGCCCAGAGGAGTGGAGAAAAAGACCTCCTGGTTCAAATGTAGGCAGACACAGGACAGGAACGCCAAAATCCAAATCCATTAAGGATATTTCCTGCCCTTCATGCCCACAGAGCGGACCCTGAAGACACCATTCTCAGCGACCCCTCCAGTCACCAGGCAGACGCACGATTTAACGAGCACTTGCCTCCTCCTTCCTAACTGCCCGAGAGCGGGCTCGGCCGTCTGGTTAGACCCTGCGGTTGGCGGGCTGAGGGAATCCACACACGTACACAGTGTAGCCAAGGAAAAGGCAGGACTATGATCCACGTACTGGTACGAAGCAGAAAGCCAGGCACCTGGCTGGCAGCTGCTCCGCTCTCTGCCCACAGATGGTCCGTTTCTAGAGGGATCGGGGCACCCGCCAAGTGCTTGGCCTCCCAAATCAGAAGCTTGTTCCAAATGGGAGCGCCTTCCCAGGGCTCCCCTAGGAAAAGGGGACCCCCTCCACGCTCCCAGACCCACCTGCATGTGCAATGGCGGCCAAAGTTGGTATTAACGGGAAAGGGGATCAGAGGGAGCTCTGAGGATAGGGGTGCGACGACTGGTCCCCAGCAGGGAGCTGAGAAAACCCCTCAGCCTCCCAGCCATTCACAGAAGAATAGTCCACAGATACCCCGTGTTGAGAGGGGGTTGGGTAGAGGAGGAAAAGGGAGAGGGGAGAGGAGGAGGGGAGGTGGGAGACACCTACAGGTGTGGGGAGAAGGAACAGGGAAGCGACTGGAGGAAACAGAGCGAGAACGGACGTAGACAAGACGTGTCACATCTCCAAGCAAGACCGAGTGGAGACACATGCAAAGGCGCAGCGTGAGGACAGCGTCTGAGGAGGAGCCTGCGCCTCCCAATGGCCCGCAGCGACCGCACCCAGGAAGCCCGCAGCAAGCAGGAGGCGTGGCGGCTCCCGCAGCCCAGCACCCGCAGCCCAGCACCGTCAAGGTCTAACTCCGAGGCTGTGGGAGGCCTGACTCCCCTGGGAGGGGGTGCGGGCCAGGCTCCAGGGAGCCATGCTCTCTCGTGTGGCCCCTGGTTGCTAGGTTTGCTGGGCAGTGAGCGTAGAGTAGTTCAGCTCTCCCAGATCTGACACGGAGGGAACCATGGGGCCGCAGGGGCCGCAACAGCTGGGGGAGGGGAGGGGCAGGAGCAATGAGAATGGGGTCCAGCACTTTCCAGGAGTGGGGTGAGAGCTGGTCCTGGAGCTGTGACCCCTGGGGGGGTGGTGGTGACCGCGGGGCCATCACTGGGCCGCATGGAGGGAGAGCGGGAGACAGAGGACAGCCCAGTCACTGCCACTCTGAGCGTCCCCCCTCAGGCCACGGAGGCCCTAGTGCAGGGGAGCTCAAAAAGACCGCCTGACCCTGCACGTCTTCCCAGTGCGCACGGCGGCCGAAGTGGGGCCCCGGCCGGCCACACGCCACACACTGTTCTAGAGCCTCTTGGCTGCTGGCACTTTTTTAGCTGCAGGTTGTAAAGAAATGGCTCAGCATCCTCACCACGGGACGCCTTTCTGACGACTGCAAATGTTGTATAGTCCCCAGTTAGCATGGCCAGCCCCCCCGGATCTCTCAGGTGGCAATGGGAGGCATAGCTTCCACCTGCGGAAGCCGGGGCGCCAGAGGGGCCTGCGCACTCCCGTCCATGGCAAAAAGAAGCGTCTCCCTAGTTACCCCGAGAGCGAGCCTTGCGTAACCCTCACAGCCTTTTTAAGAGACTTGATACCCCTCTGCATGCCCAGTTCCTAAGACACACCCGCTCCCCCCCCCCCCGAAAGGAGCCACCCCGGGGGGGTGGGGGGGCAGCAAGGAGGAGTGCAGGCCCCCATCCCGGGCGAGTATGTGTCTCCTGCCACCTCAACCCCCTGCCTGGGAAACCTGTCCTTGCCTCTTCCGAGCTCCCCTGGACTCCCTGCAGCTGTAACTCAAGGGTCAGAAGTGGTTGCCACAGGGACCCCGAGAGCCATGTGACCCTAAGGGCAAGGTCCACAGCCCAGCCTTGCAACAGCCAAGGGCGAGCAGCAGAACGCAAGGAGCGTGGACATGGGGACGTTTCCCAGCCCCGCCCTCAGAGGACCCCAGTGGCCTGGTCCTAAGAAGGACCCCGTCCGTGGCCAAGGGAAGGAGCTGGGCCGCACCCCAGCCCTGTGCTCCCTGATGGGACCAACTATTCATAAGACCCCAGGAAGACAGCAAGGGGCCAGCCACCCCAGAGAAGGTCTGAGTTTGGGGGTCCAAGGGGAAAGGGGTGCTTTACCTGAGGCTGCTGGGAAAACGGGGCAGAGAGAGAATGGGTGTTGCTGGTACCAGTGTGGCCCCAGACAGATGGTCAAGGCTACAGAGAGGCCAAGCAGGTCTTGGGCACTGTGGGCCCCTCAGGTGCATGCAGGGCCCCGAGGGACCTCCGGGGCAGCTCTGGGTGTGTGGGCAGCGGAATGGCAAGGTGTCTGAGTAAGGAGACTGCAGGGCGGCTCTGGGAGAGAGCTTGACATGTGGGGCGGGCGGGGCGAGAAGCTGCAGCAAGGCAGTGCCCGAGCGTGGCCTGGGGGGGCTATTGGAGCAGCGTGATGGGGGGGAACCCAGAAGCCGTGGATTCAGGGAGCAGAGGCTGCCGCCCCCACGGAGGGGGTGAAGGGACATGGTCTGGATTCCCCTGTAGAGGAAGCGATGGCCCTGCCGAAGCCCCGTCCGCCTGTCCGCCCCCCGCCCCCCGGCCGCGGAGCTCCCTTACCTATTGAGCTGAGGAGAGGCTTGTCTCGACAACACTGCCCAGATAGCTGAGATCAATCAGAAACAAAGCAGTTATCAACACAGGCCGCGGGGCAACCACCCACGCACACCCAGAGGGGAGGAGGGGGGAGCACGGGGACCAGAGAACCGACAAGGAGGCCAGAGAATGGGGCGAGGGAAGGAGAGGAGAGAGACAGAGAGCCAGACCAACGATGGGACAGAGCAGATGAGCGCGCTGCAGAGCGGACGACACGGCTGCGCCCACAGCATCTACGGCAGACACCACGGGCACCACGCAACCACGCGCGCCGCCTGGCCTGGCGCCGGCTGGAGCTCCCCTCCGCTCCCAGGACGCCCTGCGCCCCCACCAGGAGCAGGTGGGGTGGGAGGGGAGGCTTGCACTTTCAGGTACCAGACAGGGTGGGAGTGAGTGGGGCAAGGGAAGGGCTCTGGGCTCCTCCTCAACCACCACCCATCCTGCCTACCACCCGGCCAGCTCCTCTGGAGCTGGGCGCCCCGCACAGGCGGCCACACTAAGAGAGACCAAAGGACGGAACCAGAGAGAAAGAGGGAGGCAGGGAGGGGGCGGGGGGGGGGGGGAGGGGAGAGGGGGCAGGGGTACTACTGAGACATTGCAGGCTCTTCTGAGCAAGTTGGGCCAACCCAGAGAAGATGGAGAAGGAAGAAAGAGACAGAAAGACAGACTTGAGGAGGAAAGACAGGGAGGAGGAGGAGGAGGAGGAGGAGGAGGAGGAGGAGGAGGAGGAGGAGGAGGAGGAGAAAGACAGAGAAAGGCACAGACAGGCGTCCAGGCTGACTGGTACCTGGAACACCAGCTGTTTAAAGTGTGCTCTCTCGGGCAGGCTGATCGCAGGAGCTTGTCTGTCTGTCTGTCTGTCTGCAGCTTCCTGCGAGGCACACAGGTTGGGGTGGGGTGTGTGGTTCCAGGCCCCTGATTCACAGCCTGAGATCTGGCCCCCAGCATCCAGGATATACCCCCCAAAGCCCCCCCGGGAGAGGCCGTGGGAGGGGCCTGGGGCTCACTAGGCCACTAAGGGCAGGGTTGGGAAGAGGGGCGCCCCTGGCCTGGGGGTCCAGGGAGGCCAGGCTTCAGGGTCCTGCCAAGCAAGGAGGAGGGGCTGGGAAGCAAAGGAGCCTGGATGCGAGGTCTCCGGGCAAACCCTGGCACCGCCCCCACAGCCAAGATCCCAGGGACCTGGTGAGCTCTCCACTCCACCAGGAACTGGGGTGACCATCCCTGGGGCATGCCACGCCCCTCCCCAGGCCCATGTGTGCCCACTCCTGAGAGCCCTGGGCTGGATGGAGAAGAGCCCTCCTGCTCCTGGCAGGGTACCTGGGCAGGTAAGCCCCACCCCACCCCAACTGACCACACCCTGCTGATGCCAAGACCAGAACTCCCCCACAGGGAGGCTGCAGCGATTCCAGACAAGCCCTGTCATTCTGGTTGATGGACGGGTGGAGGGCGGAGTGAGGGAGGGGGGCAGGAAAATGACCAGGTGCAGGTGGGCGGGAGAAAGCAGCTCACACTCACCCTGAAGTAGGTAACTGTGGTGGGGGGGGCTCTGGTCTGAGCAGCTCCTCCCCCATCCTTCGAGGGGAAGGCGTCTGTCCAAACACATCCAAGTTGTCCGCAGGCCCCGCGGGGCCCAGAGGAGGGGAGGGGTAGCCCGTGGCCAGAGTGGTGAAGCCCACGGCGGGCCGGTAGCTGGGGCTCCCGCTGCGGCTGCTCTGGGACGGGGAGCCCGTGGACGGCGTGGACTTGCAGGAGAAGCTGACGGCGGCCGGCGGCTGGAGGGCGATCTCGGACATCTCGGCCTGCTGCAGGAGGCCGGGGCGAGGCCGGGCCCGGGCGGCCAGCTCCGGGGAGCCGGTGCGGGAGCTGAGGGGGCTTTGGGTCAGAGGCGAGAGCCGGGAGGGCTGTAGCACCACTTGATGTAAACTGGGCTCAGCGCGCCTGGCCTGCCGGGGGCTGGGCCGGGGCCGGGGCTGGGGCTGGTACCACCGGGTGTCCAGGCCGAATGTGCTGGGGCCACCGTGTCCCCCCGGCTCGGCCGGCTCGGGGTAAGGCAGCACGGGGATGCCCATACCTTGGCTGGTATGTCTTAGCTGCCCTTGGCTCACCAGCGGCTGCACGGGTCTGTCCTGCCACTTGGCGGCGGGGGGCACTGGGACGGGGCCCCTGCCCGGTGACTTGCCGGCCCAGCCCTTCGGCGCCTCCAGCGACAGGATGCCCGGGTAGGCCGAGGGCACCTGGAGGGAGGTGGGGGGCAGTCCTCGGGGGAGGCACGCCTTGGGCTGCAGACTCTCGGCCACATCACAGGGGTGCAGCTGGTGGGGGAACATCATGGCCGGGGTTTCCAGGCCCCCGAAGGGGAACTCCGGTCGCCCCCAGGGCTCCGGGGAGCGCCCGCCCGTGGGGGTCTGAGTCAAGGGCAGCGTGCTGTTGGACGCGTTCTCTCCGTTCTCCTCGGGGATGGTGGGGTGGCCGAAGGGCCCCTCCGTGTGCAGGGGCGGGGAGGACATGACCGAGCTCAGGGGGCTGCCCACTTCCGGCATGTAGAACGGCGGCGGCTCCACCTCCCCAGGGCTGCTGCTGCTCAGGTACCCGTAGTACTGGCCGTGGTGGAAGGGCCGGGGGGCGGGCGGCCGGGCCTGGCCTGTCGCCTGGAGCCGCCCCTCCAGGCCGCCGGGGCCCTCCAGCCCGCGGGGCTGGAACCGGGGGCTGTATGCTGGTGGAGGCAGGTAGGACTCCTGGCTGGACGACAGAGGGGTCAGCTGGGACTTCAGGGCAGCCACCGAGGTGGGCATCAGGGGGTCCTCATTCTCCTCGTCAGACTGGCGGAACTCGGGGTACATGTCCGTCTCCTCCGCAAAGGGAAAGCCCTCGATGCGCCTGCCCTTCACCGCGGGCTCCACCTCGGAGGGCCCCATCACAAAGCGGCCGTCGGGGCCTCTGCTGATGAGCTCGATGGGCGTCGTGGCCTCGGCCTCGGCCTCCGCCTTGGCCACGCTGTACTTCTTGCTGCTGATGGCCCTCTTGGTCTTCTTGTACAAGGACAGCTCCTTCTCCCGGCTGGGGCTCAGCATTCTCTTGGCTGCGGGCTGGCCCTGGTCGTCAGAGGACTCGGAGGGGGCCCGGAGCGTCCGGATGCTCTCTGGGCTCACCTTGCCCGAGGACAGGCTGTGGGGACAGGCAAAGAGCAAGAGGGTGAGGCAGGGGACACACGGGCCATTACTCCTTTGTGTTCCCTGAGCCAACGCCAACCACAGTCACCAGGGAAGACAGGACTAGGGAACAAGACCGCAGGTGACTGCATAGTCTGGCGTGAAACCCTTGGGCCAACACTCCCCATTTGTCTAGGTGTGTATTCTGAGTGAGCACCCGCATTTCTACTTCTATTCCGCTCCTCCCCATGGTTTGCTGGGCTCTGTCCAGTCCCACCTGCCACTTCACTCCCTCCCAGGTTGCTCGCAGAAAGCAAGCTCATTATAATATGACAACGCAAAACATATTCAGAAGGCAAATCTGTTAGGATGACCGAAAAATAAATCACAGAACTACACTCGAAGCCAAAGAAAAATGGGTTCTCGGCGAATCTGGATCATTTACACGACTGCTCCTTCTGCGGGGAACAGCGCGATCAACCAGCGGTAACCAGCGGAGAAGAGCCGAGACGGGCTGAGCGAGGTGGACCACCCACTGTCACACCCTGACCGTCCACCCTGACCGTCCACCCGCACACCACAAGCAGCGTGTCCCCCGGGGCCGGGCTGGGGCACTTACGGGGACTCCAGGCTCTTCCTGCAGTGGGTGATGGAGAGCGGAGGGTCTGGAAGGAGAGAGGGGGAGACCTGCTGAGGCCGAGACACCAAAACATATGCCAGCGTCGACAGGGCCCAGAGCTGAGCCATGAGGGAGCCTGTCCCCACCCCCAGGCGCTTGCCTTCTCCAGACTCTCCCACGGTCCCCATGTCCTTTCTCCTTCTTTCAAATCAAGTCCCACTGGCAACTCTACCCTCTTCTCAAGGGCCCCACCCTACACACAGGCCGTCTCTCCTGACGGGGAGCTTCTGAACCCAGGCCAGGTAGAGCCGGGGGTGGGGACAGCACCCACCTTTTTTGCGCTTGAGCTTACGCTTGCGCTGCTTGTTGACAAAGCAGGCGGCCAGGGTGCTGAAGAGGATGGCAGCCGCCAGGAAGCAGATGGTGGCTACGATGCCAGCCAGGACCGGCCGCGCCAGGCCATCGTCCGTCAGGTCCGGCTGGGGGAAGATGTCTGCGGGGAGGGGCATGGAGTCCTGGGAGGCGTCCTCTTCCCAAGGCCCCGCCCACTCTGACACCCAGCCCCCATGTGGTGGCCTGGCCTTAAGCACAGACAACGGTACAGCTCAGGCTCAGGCTCCAGCCCCAAGGAGGGTTGCCTGGCAGGGGAGGAGGGGAGGGGGTGGATTACAGCCAGGGAGCCACCACATAGCTGGTAAAGAAGAAAGAGCATCAATACCTTACCCTGTGGGGGTGACAATTTCAATATCATATAATAATCTAGTGCTTATGCCCAGCCGGCGTGGCTCAGTGGTTGAGCGTCAACCTATGAACCAGGAGGTCATGGTTCGATTCCTGGTCAAGGCACATGCCCGGGTTGTGGGCTCGGTCCCTAGTGTGGGAGGCAGCCAATCAATGATTCTCTCTCATCATTGATGTTTCTATCTCTTTCTCCCTCTCTCCCTTCCTCTCTCTGAAATCAATCCTATATAATAAAAGGGTAATATGCAAATTGACCCTAATGACAGAACAACCAGAACAACCACTGGACCAGTCACTATGAGGCTCACTAACCACCTCTTGGTCCCTTTCTCCGGCCGTCAGGCACCGATCACCTGATGGCAAACAGGGAACCGGGGGTGGGTGGCAGCGGGGGGCGGGGCTGGCTGCGGGCAGCAGAAGATGGCCCTGATCACAGGCCAGGCCTAGGGACCGTACCTGCGCATGAATTTCATGTGCCGGGCCTCTAGTAAAAATATATTTTAAACATATATATATATATATATATGTAATCGTCAGATTATAAACATTTTTTAAATAAAATAAAAATTTAAAAAGCCCCACAGAGCACAGAAGTCACCTCCACTCCACCTGACACTCTCATGCCACCTCTGTCCTCCCCTGTCCCCTCCCCTGCCCCCACGCCTGGCCCAGCTCCTTGCCAGCTGGTCCCCGGGGAGCAGTGCCCATGGAAATGGTGCCCTTGCTTTCTCACTAAACAAGCACCTCCCCCAACTGCCCCAGAGCTGGTCCTGAGTCTAGGGAACCAAGGGAGCCACTCCACGGGGAGACAGGGACCTGCGGGGTTCAGACACTGTAGCTGGAGAATGATGTGTAGACATGGGACCAGAGGTAAGGAAAAAAAAAAGTGATATTGAGAAAATGCCAGGGAGGGGGCCTTATTGAGTCTGAAATAAATCTAGGGAGAGGAAGGAGTGAAGGGCAACTCCTTCACCCAACGGCAGTTTTCCCAATAAAAGCACCATGATTCTACAGCGGTCTTACAGCAGGCGCTCAGTGGATGCTCGACGACATGTTATCTCTGTTCTGGCCCCACCCCATTACAGAGGGTCACACGGGAGGAAATGGAGTTGATAGAAAAATAACTCTGCCCCCAGCCGGTATGGCTCAGTGGATAGAGCATCGGCCTGCGGACTGAAGGGTCCCAGGTTCGATTCCAGTCAAGGGCACATGCTCAGGTTGTGGGCTTGATCCCCAGTAGGGGGTGTGCAGGAGGCAGCCAATCAATGATTCTCTCTCATCATTGATGTTCCCATCTCTCTCTCCTTCTCCCTTCCTCTCTGAAATCAATAAAAATATATTTAAAAAAGAAAGAAAGAAAAAGAACTTAAACCAGTTCTTTCTGACAACAGTATGAGAAGATCTGCTAACTTCCTCTCTGCGGCTTCCTTATGGACACCAAGGTCAGCACAGCTCGAGATGGCGAAACCCCACCCGCCGTGGAAGCAGGAGCATGGACCTGACTCCCTGGGGCTCTGGGCTGTGTCCCCGCAGCTGTAAAAGGACCCCTACCCCCAAGTACCTGTGCTGGAGACGCCGGCGATGTTGCTGGGCTCGCTGACCAGGTCCTGCATGACGGCCAAAACCCGGAACTCATACCAGGTGTCCTACAGCCAGAGGGACAACACCCATCAGCCAGGGACCTGAGCGGCCACTGACCCGCCACCGACCGAACCACCATTGACCCCTCCAGGACGTGTCGTGGAACACGGCACCCAAAGCAGTGGTCCTGAAGCGTGTAACAACCCGCTCTCAAGTGGAAAAAAAAAAAGAAGTTCTGGTTTGTAGCCTTTGCCAATTGCTGTGGTGTAAATACTCTGACCACAGCTGATGTCAAGTGAGATCATGGAGAGGAAAGATGGGAAGAGAGGCACTCTGGGGCTCGCAGGAGCCACGAGCCAATTCCAGCCCTGAGTGTCCAGGGAAGGGAGACAGAAGGTAGGCGAGACTGTCTTTTCCCAGGGAATAGGCGGCTTTCTCTCTCCAGCTAAAGGAGGTTGACTGCAAAAAGATAATGTATGCCCCGGGCTCTGAACCGGTAAAGGGTGAAGCTAAAGACAGTCCTGGGAACTCCTGTCCATCGTAGCTAGGCTCCCAGCAAGGAGCTCAGGTCAGTGTCTGGTGACCCAGCCCGGGCCTGCCCTGCCCCCTGTCCCCTGCCCTCGCTTGTGTGTCTGCGCTTGGAGAAACCCCTCAGTGATACAACCCCCACTGCCCCTGGGAGAGCTGGTCCTGAGTCTGGGGAACCCCAGTCACCATGGGCAGCTCTGGGGGAGACATGAACAGGGTGTGTGTGGTCCATCAGCCCGTGGCCAGACTTCACAGATCCGCATCCAGGGAGGGACTCCAGGAGTCCTGTCACTCCCAGAATGTGGGACGCAGCAGCAGGGGGAGCTCGATGCCCACCTGTGACAGATCCTTGGCGAAGAAGTCTCCGTCGGTGCCTGGGATGGCATCGTCTAGCATCTCCCAGCGCTCTCCGACACGGAACTCCATGACGTAGCGGTCGATGGGGAAGCTGTGGTTGGCAGGTGGGAGCCAGGACAGCAGCACACCCTGCTGGGTCCGATTGGCTGTGAGGCACCGCGGTGGGGTAACCAGCACCAGGGGTTCTGGGGTTGTGATGGGGAATGCTGCGGCGGGAGAGAAGGGAGACAGTGCTGAGGTCGCCGTGGCCTCGCCGTCCACGCGATCTCTGGCTCAGCATGTGTCCCTGGGGCACCGTAGCCCTGAGGCGATGGTCACAGGCCACACGCCTGTGCAGGCACCATCTCAGGGGCCAGGGTGTCCCAGAAGAGAGCCCTCCCGCCCCACAGGAAGGCGGCGTGGCTGTGGGCCAGCGCCTGGGCTCCTGTGTCCAGGGCACTTCCAACATCTAGGAGGAGCCCAGTTCCACAGAAGGAACAAAATGGGCCCGGCCGGTGTGGCTCTCCCAGTGCGGCTCAGTGGACTGAGCATCGTCCCATGAACCAAGAGGTCACTGCTTCAATTCCCAGTCAGGGCACATGCCCGGGTTGCGGGCTCAGTCCTCTGTAGGGGATGTGTAGGAGGCAGCCGATCGATGTCTCTCTCTCTCTCATTGATCTTTCTTTCTTTCTTTCTTTCTTTCTTTTTTTTAATTCTCACCCGAGGATATTTTTCCATTGATTTTTAGAGAGAGTGGAAGAGAGAGGGAAGGACAGAGAGAAATATCAATGTGAGAGAAACACATCGATCGGCTGCCTACTACATGCACCTGGAACAGGGCCCGGGCCGGGGAGGAGCCTGCAACCAAGGTACATGCCCTTGATCAGAATCGAACCCGGGACCCTTTGGTACACAGGCTGACGCTCTATCCACTGAGCCAAACCGGCTAGGGCTCTCATTGATGTTTCTCTCTCTGTCTCCCTCCCTCTCTCTAAAATCAATCTTTTTAAAAAGAATAAGAAGGGATAAAATGGGAGCTTTGGAAGGAGGACACATTAAATGCAATCAGCTTTTTAATAAGATAGCATCTTTACAAAAATACTGCAAACGTATCTCAGGTTCTTTTCCCAAGGAAGCAGGGATATCTTCCCGCACACCGTTTGTTCTTCCAGCTCCCCGCGAGGCCCAGGGGGAATCAAGACTCGACGAGGAGACCCCAAGCAGTGCTGGCACTGTCCCTGCTACCCCCCGGGTGGCAGTAAAGCAAGCTGGGTGGTGCCCCCTGCTCCTAGCTGCCCGCTCTGGCCCCAGGTGGGAGGAGTGGCCGCTGAGCCCAGGAAGGAAGGGTCAGCCACACGCTTGCCACCGAACAAAGCCGGGGCCAGAGGGAAGGGCCGGCCGAAGTACAGGAGGCGGAAGGATTCCCAGTCCCCCGACCCGTGAAGCCACAGGAAGGCGCGGACACGTGGCCTGACCAGGAAGACAAATTCAAAGCCTCCTCCGTCCAGCTAAGGACGCACAAGGAATCGGCCCAAAGTGACGTGGGGGGGGGGAGGGGGGGACGTGCTTTGGTACAGACGAGCCCCACAAAATGGAACGACTCATCTTTCCCAGGAGCTCTAGTGACAGGACCACAGAAAGCACCCAGGAAGGCGCCTGGCACGCAGCAAGCACGACAATGTCAGCTTCCGGGACCCCTCCTGCCACCGCCCGGACCACGCGGGACCTTGACCCACGCCAGCTCCTCCGGGAAACACCCTCAGCACCACAGCGCAGGGCCTCACCTAAAGTGTTCACAGTGACCACCTCGCTGAAGGCGCTCGTCCCCAGCCTGTTCTGGGCCAGGACGCTGAACTGGTACGCTGTCTCGGGCTCCAGGGCGTCCACGAGCAGCCAGTTGGGCCCCGGGGGCACTGGCAGAGACAGCCAGTCATGGGGTCCAAACTGCGCCCGCTTCATCCTGGCCACAGCAAAGAGAGAGGATCAAAGACAAGAGGGTGGGTGGGTTACACTGGGGACACCGAGAGCATGCACGGTCCTCCCGGAGGCGGCAGCGCTGGGCTGGCCTCCCCAGGTTCAAGGAAGAGGTCACGGCCAAGGAAGGATGGCCACCCGACTTCGAGGGGCCACGCCTCACAATGCCAGGTCACCAGCCCCCGTGGCACCTCCTCTTCCACAAGGGACACTCAGGTGTAAGTCATGCTCAAAACACTGGTCAAGCCCTGGCTGGTTTGGCTCAGTGGATAGTGTCGGCCTGTAGACTGAAGGGTCCCAGGTTCGATTCTGGCCAAGGGCACATGCCTGGGTTGCGGACTCAATTCCCAGTAGGGGGCATGCAGGAGGCAGCCGATCGATAATTCTCTTTCATCATTGATGTTTCTATCTCTCTCTTCCTCGCCCTTCCTCTCTGAAATCAATAAAATAAAATAAAATAATAATTTAAAAAAAACACTGGTCAAGCCCAGCCGGCATAGCTCAGTGGTTGAGCATCGACCTATGAATCAGGAGGTCACCATTCAATTCCTAGTCAGGGCACACGCCTAGGTTGCGGGCTCAATCCCCAGTGTGGGGTGTGCAGGAGGCAGCCAGTCAATGATTCTCTCAAATCATTGATGTTTCTCTCTCTCTCTTCCTCTCCCTTCCTTTCTCTGAAATCAATAAAAATATTAAATAAATAAATAAAAAAAAAACCACTGGTCAAATTATCAACTGTGCTTTGGGATCATCTCAGCCTGGTCACAACCCTAAGAGAGGCTCTGAGGACACTGGAAACAAGGCAGGTACCACATCACGACCGTGACGATGAGCAATTTGGCAACAGCAGGACTATCGACACTCAGGTGACCTCGGCCACCCACCCTCGCAAGGACAGCCAACCGTGGGAAGTGGAGTCACAGGGGGCTCTCTCAGTCCAACCAGGTTGGAGTCGGAAGAGGAGGTAGGTCCCGGGTACACAACAAAGATGCCTGGGGTTTCCCCGGAGTGGGGACCAGCTTCCCTGAGGCCTGACGGGTTGGAAACCACAATGAAGGGGAAGGTCACCCTGACACCTGTTCTACACAGCCCACCACCACCCAGCTCCATCTGCATCTCCTACGGGTGCAGTGCCCGGCATCACCACTGGGAGGAGCCGTCGCCCCATGGACTGAGATGCCACACAGCCCTCTCAGGCCTGAGCTACCATTTAGTGGGTGCCCAACAGGTTCCCCTGTAGGTTGAAGGCTCAGTACCATGTATGCCCAGGAGTTGAAGCTGAGGTGGTGAAAAGCACAGGAAAAAACAAAAAAAAGAAACCAAAAATGCTAGCGCCAAATGAATGTCATTACACAGTGAGAGGTCATTGGAAAGAACGGAGGGAAGGAGACCTCCCAACCTTTTCACCTGCCCTTCCCTGCCCAGGCACCACAGCAAGTGAGCAAAGAGTAAAAAGCAACACAGGTGAGCAGCAGCGTGGAGCAGAGCCACAAGCAGCCAGCGAAACCCCTACCGCTGCCCAGACCTGCCCCCTGGCATCCCCAAAGGTGGCTCGGCCACACCCAACGCGGCCCTAGCAAGGGAGCTGCCCAGCGGGGCCGGGACATTGCAGGGGTCACCCAGCAGGGTGGTGAGGAACCCCGCCCTGCCTCCACCCTGCCGGGGAGGCCTAGAGATAAGGGGAGGGGTGATCTGGCTGCAGCTCAGAGTCCCCCAGCTCACCACCTGGGCCCAGCTGGCCGCTCCAGAACTCAATATGCCCAGGATGTCAGTCTGGGAAAAACCCACCTCGTCCCCATGATGGGAAGGAGCGGGTTCCCTCTCAGGTCCCCTCGCTGTTAGAGGTGTATCGGGGGCTCTCCCTGAATCGCCAGGCCTTTCCTCCTGGATCTGAAGCTTCCTCCTCCCAGGGCTGAGTCTGGCACGGATACCCACCCAGGGGAGACAGGTCTCTTCCTTCTCGAGGAAGAAGTGAGGGGCTCATCCCTCCACCCTGTAAGGGATGCCCATGGTGCAGGCGGGCAGTTCTTGGCTCAGGAGAGCAATGTCGGAAAGGGCCACCCAGAGGCGATGGGAGGTGCCGGCTGTGGCCTTTTTCTCCCTTTTCTAACCCTCTGGTCCTCAGCCAGATTCTGATCTCGACCTACCCCCCGGTCTGGGCAAGGATGTCAAATCGCTGAATCTGGCTAAATGCATAAGAGACATGAACACAATAGAGACACAGGGTCCTCGAGGGAACATGCATGTGCTGAAGACCTGGCCAGGAAGGGGAGTTCCTCTCCCCACTGGTTTCTGTAATCCCCCGGGGAGGGGGCCACAGAATAAAACTCAGCTTCTGCACTTCCGGCTGGGCTGCTTCGCAATGCCCTTGGAGACCAGGAGTCTCCCCCAGACTCCAGAGGACCGGGGTCCGAAAGGCAGCATGGGCCAAGGACACAACAAGGTCACAACAGTGAGGTCAGCGGAGGAGAAAGCAGAGCGTGATGGACAGCTCAGGCCCCGGCCTCCCAAACCTCTGGCTGGGAATACAGGGGTGCCCAGAGTCCCCCAGATACACACCCACCCACCCACCCAAGACCTTAGCCACTGCGTCAACACACCTCTTCCTGTGGGGTCTGGTGAAGAACCGTCTCCTTCTCAGAACCCCACCTACCCAGGCACGGACCGAACGAAGTGGGGGTGGGGAGGGAGAAGCAGAGAGCAAAGCATGCGGGGCTGACTCACAGAGGTCCGTACCAAACTGAGAATGTCTGCTCGAATCCTCCATCGTAGCCGGGCTCCCAGGACACGTTGGCAGTTGTCATGGAGACCTGGACCCGGACTCCGCCTGGGGCGTGGGGGCTGGTGCCTGGAGACCAAGTGGAGACCTCTCAGACCGAAAGAACTGAGCCTCCCTCCCCTGACCTGGGCCCCCCGCAAACCTTGCTGCAGAGTAGCAGAAGGCGGCACCCCACGTGGAAGGGCTGGGGCTGGGGGCGCTGGGAGGAGCTGGCACCCTGGCCTGCTGGGTCGGAGGATACGAGAAGGAAACCCAGCCCACCGTGCCACCTAGTCCACCCGGCAGGAGGGGCACAGCCCTGGGAGCGTGGGCCGAAGGGAGACCTAATCACTCCGTCACCCGAGGACAGAGCCCTGTGCTCGCCTCCGAGCACAGAAACTTCCTTACGGTCACAGGCAAAGCCAAAAAACCCCAAACCGTCTCCTATAGGGTCCCCAGCCTCAGGAGACAGCCACACGCACCCGAACTCGGGCGTGAGCAGTGAAGAACTTCAACTTGGCTTGCCCTGCCCACCACGCATCCGTGAGGCGGCGCTGAGCAAGGTGCCCACTCCGCCGGCCTCACGTCCACGCACGTGCCCTGGGCCATCGCGGCTGCCCCTCCCAAGTGGTACATGGCCAGGCACCGCTGGTCAGTGCCTGAAACGGGCGGGAAACGCTCCCGGCGTGTTGGCTGTGGCTACCACTGCAGCTGTCAGCACCCAGAAGTGCAGGCAAAACTGTGCACGCACCTCAGGCCGGTCAGCGGGAGCAGAATGCCCAATGGTGCCCCAGGAGAGGTGAACGGCCGCCTGCTCTGTGCCAGGCCCCACCAGGGATCTCATCTCGGGGCATCCTCCTCCCAGATCCCCCGTTCCTGCCTCCCAGCTTCCCCACAGGCCCCAGCCTCAGAGCTCCGAGCCATGGCTACTGGCCATGCAGGGGCCTCAGCTCTGTGTCAGGGGGTTGCTGGGGACAAAAAAGACCTCCCAGAAGAGGCCCCACGTCCCCGCCCTCACAGAGCCCGCAGAAGGCTCCGGAGACCTGCAGAGGCTCCAGCTTAGAGTGGACTGACGGCCAGAGACGCCCATAGTCCCCAGCACCCGGACCCCCTGCCTGCCCGCAGCCGTACCGATGACGGTCAGGTGGGTACTGGCAGTGATGCTGGTGACCACGTTGGTGGCGATGCACTCCCACTCGCCGTGGTCCTCCTTGCTCAGGGCTCGGAACTGGAGGCTCCCGCTGGGCAGGGCGCTGTGCTTGCTTCTGCTGGGCTTCCCTACCTTGGCCAAGCAAGGGGGCAAGGAGGAGGGTGGGAGCGGGGGGTGGGGGCGCAGAGAGGAGGAGCCGGGTCGGGCAGGGGAGGAGAGAAGCCACCAACACCTCAGGGTCGGAGGAGCCGGAAGATAGTGCTACTGCCCTCCACGCCCCCTGCCAGGGCGCCCTCAAGAAGTCCCCTGGCCCCTCAGCACATGGCCCCCCAGCACAGACACCCTCCCTCCAGCACGAGTCCCGGGAGCTCCGGGACCCAGAGGTACCTTTCTCCAGGTGATGACAGGGAAGGGGTCCCCCGCAGCAGCACAGGGGATCAGGAGCTCCCGGCCGGCCTCCTGCCTGTACTCCCAGCCTGGTAGCACCGTGAAGTACGGGGGGTCCTGGAGGGAGCACAGCGGGCGTGGAGGTGGGCACGGGGGGCACTATGGGCACCACCGCTCAGAGGCCCCTGTAGCCCCGGGCCTCACCTTCAGGACAAGCCGTGCGGGAGCAGACTGGCCCATGGTCCCCAAGGTGTTGTAAGGCACACAGGTGTACGTGCCCAGGGCCTCTTCTGTGGCTTCCTCAATGCGGATGGAGCCGTCCTCCATCAGGGTCCAACCGAGATTCTGCCAGAGGGAGCAGAGCAGGGCCATGGTCAGGGGTGCGCACCAGTCCTGGCCCCAACAGGGCCAGACCCGAGCAGGGCGGCTCCACTAGCCCCCCTGGGGGCAGGCCGGGCAGAGACCAGCTGCCCTGGGAAGGGGTGTCTTGGTGCCCTGCCAGCTGCGGACCCCCATGGGCAGCAGCTCTAAGCTTGCCAGAGCTTCAGGGGAAGGCTCCTGGCAGGACCCAGACCCCCAGAGGCAGCACCTTAGTGTGGGGAGGGTGCGTCTCATGGGTACCCCACATGCGTCTCTCTAGCACCTTCTCGACCTGCAGGGGGCGGCCGTCCTTGTTCCACTTGACCACGGTGGCCGGCGGCTCTGCGTCCACGGGGCAGCGGATGTAGCCATGAATTCCCACGGGCACGTAGATCACGGGGGGCATGTTGAGGACACGGGCTGGGTCTGGAGAGGGTAGTGTCGGGTGGGAGAGAAGAAAGACACGAGGGAAGTCAAGAAGAGAGAACTCCCGGCGGGGGCCCAGCCACCACACAGGCACCCCCCAAAGTACAGCCCTTCACACCCTCCCCCCCCACTCAGTGAGCACTTGGTGTCCTCAATGCTCAACACGGAGCTGAGTGCTGGGCCCACCGCGGCCAGCAAACCCCGGCCTCCTGGGCTGATGGCCCCGAGGCCACGCTGAGCCATCAGTGCAGGCTGCAGGCTTCTGTCTGCCCGGCCTCCAGGATGCCCAGCGCTTCTGTTCTGAATGCCCAGAGGCACTGAGGCACGAGCTGCCTGCCCCAGCCCAGCAGATGTGAACACTGCTGCCCGATGGGCGGGGCTCTCCTGTCCATTTCCCCAGCCCCTCCCTCGACTCCCACCTTCAAAGTCAACCCTGACCACCCCCTCCCCCACCTGCTGACCCCAAGTCCTATCACCGAGCCGGTTCCTCGCTCCACACCCTAAGCCCAAAGAGGAATGAATGGCCGTCTGTGCACGAGGTGGGCGAGGCCAAACCACAGGTGGCTCCCCTCTGTCCCTTCTGCTGGCTGCCATCTCAGGCCTCAGTTTCCCTTCTGTGCAGCTGGAGGGCACCCTCAGCCCAGGCCACAGAGCCGACGACAGGCTCCTGGGGCAGCAGCGAGAGCCGCGCACCCTGCCATGTGGGTGAGTCATCCATCACCTTCCGATTCCCCCCGACTTCCCTGAGGGCTACCGAGGGGAAAGACGAGGAACTTCCAGGGAGGCGGAGAGGATGAATGAGCTGGGATCTTTCAAGCACTTGGAGCTCTTCAGAGAACAGCATTACATAAATACCAGGCCGAGGTATATATTTAGACAGAGCCTCCTACTTTTGTATGGTAGAGGGTGTGTTTTTTTTTCTTCCTTTTCCTCCAAGGTTTTCAAAGCGTTTATGAATGGGAAATACTCTGAACACTGCTTTTTAGCAGAAATAAAGATCCTTGTCTCACCCACCTGAAAAATCTCACACGCACCCCGGGTTCTCCTTGAAGGCAGGAAGGAGGTAAAAAGGGACAAGTGGGAGAGGTAGACTGAAGCACCCATGGCTCAGAGGACCGGCCTCAGTCCTGGAGAGAGACATCGCCCCTCTGAGACTCCCCCGCTGCTCTCTCTGTCCGCCGCTGCCACCTTCCCGCACAGATGACATCAGCCAGCCAGGATCCTGCTCGAAGAGGTGTCCCCCTCACCTTGGTCCCTGCGCGTCCGGCACAGCGCGAGGCACACGGTAAGTCGCTTATAATAGCTTCTTGCCTGGATTTTTCTCACTTGTAGGTCTGGGTGGGACAGACCTGATGGCCTGGGCCTCACAGCTCTTAGCAACGTGGGCCTCCTGACACAGCACGCTGACAGTCCTCGCGGTCAGCGGCCAGCAGAGTGGAGAGGTGATGCCTGGGCCGCAAGCAGCAAAATCATTGCACAGGGAAGAAAGCAGTAGGCACGGGAGCATGGGAGTTCTGGCAGGCTCCGGGTCCCGCTGGCTCCACCTCCACACGCATGCAATGCAGACAGGCGAGCACCCAGCTCTGCGAGGCTGGGTCAGAGGTGAGCCGCCTCCTGGGGTCACCTGCTGTTCTATGTGGCCCCCTGTTCAAGTGCGGACTCCAGGTCTCCAGACGGTGACCCTCCTCACCCTGCCACTCCCCGCCTTGGCCTTCAGGGTGAGCAGTTCTCCTGCCTTCAAGTGATGGAGAGCCCGTCACCTACGGCAGCAATGGGGCCTTTGTTGCCTGAGTGACAGGACCATCAGCAAATCAAAAGGAAGAGATGAATCCTCATGGCTCATCCTGCTCTCTCACAATGGCTGGCTCGCAGGGGGCGGGGAGCAGTGACTCTGCTGAAGTCGTCAAGATCAGGAAACTGAATTCTTATCTCGCACAAAAGCCCCCCATCATTCTGGCACGAGAGCAGCTCATTCCTTGGGAGCTCGGCAGCCCCGGAGAAGGGGCACGAGGAAGCGAGAGGGAGCCAGGTGCTGGGGGAGCTGGACCGGAAGAGGGGCCTGTCCCCTGGCCCCTCACACCGTCCAGGCGGATGGACATCTAACCCCACATGGGTTCAAGCTACACCTCCTCAGACGCCAGAGAAAAAAACACCAAGTGTCCGACCCCAGGTGGAGACAGGTGCTGGCTGGCATCCAGTGCAAGTGCGATTGTCCAGAAGGTCTGCCGACCCCTGACCCCAACCTGAGGCTGGCTCAGCCGACGTGAGGCAGCCAGAATGTGGCCCCCAGAAGACACCATGAGGCTGGTTTCACCTCAAATGACCGTCCCAGGTGCGGGCCTCTTCCTGGGCTGTCCTGGCTTCCTGTCTCCGTCATTCCTCCTCCCACATCCCCTGACCCGAGGCTGCCCTCCAGCCTCCCGTCTGGCTAAGGTGGCCCGAACCTTCCGGAACCCCCACCAGCTGAGGCCCGCCCTGCCCCTACTCACACTGCACAGTCAGGTAGGCGGAGGCCGAGGGGGAGCGCCCCAGGCTGTTGCTAGGGACGCAGGTGTACTTCCCTGCGTCCTCGGGCTTCACCCGGAAGATGATCAGGGTGCCGTCGATCAGGATCCGCACTCTCAGCTTCAGGTCACTGTAGAGGAGACGAGGCGACACAGGGAAGGGGGCGGGGGGGAGACAAGGATCTTCCATGAACACCAGGGGAGCAACGCATCCCCTCACCCCCACGCACGAGGAAGAGCCCAGTGCGCCCTTGCATCCCAGGGCCTCTCGGTGCAGACACGGCCCTCACAGGCGGGACCTGTGCACGGACCACCCCCTCCAAGTTGCCGGAGCCGCAGGGCAGCTTGCAGCAGGCCCTGCTCGGAGGCCTGGCCAGGGGCCCCTGGCCGCCCCGCCCCCAGGAGGTCTGGGCAGGGTGCTCACTTCTGAAAGTAGACATTCTCGTCCTGCCAGTACCAGGTGTAAGTGAGGTTGCCGGGATACGCCTCCGCCCGGCAGGTAAGCAGAGCATCCTGGGATATGTTGACAGTGATGTTCTCAGGAGGGGACACTATGAAGGGAGGCCCTGGGGACACAGGAAACCAGCATGACCTCACCGGGCGGGTCCAGGGAGAAGGGAGCACCAGGGCCTCTGAGAAGGGTGTTTGGTGCTTGGAACTGAGAGGGAGGCTGGGGGCAGCATTGGCCGGAGGCAGCAGCACAGCCCCAGGCCGTTGTCATGGAGACGCTTCTCGCTGCTGTCAGTGCTCAGGCCCTTACTCTGCCTACAGGCCCCAGAGATGCAGGTGGTGCTGGATGTGTGCCCCACCCCCTTGAGCCAGCGGGAGACGCCTGGCACCTACCTGCCCCCTGCCCCCATGCATAACCCCTCTACAAATGCTAGCCATTTAACACCACACACACATGTGCACGCACACACACACACACACACACAGGGTCCTTCCTGCCCATCTTCTCTCCGAGAACCCTGAGGGAGGCCCCCAGGGCTCTCTCAGTCCAGAGCAAGGAGCAATGCTGCCCAGAGGAGCGAGAGGCATGCCCTGCTCACCCAGCAGAGGGTAAGAGGGCGCCCAGAGGGAGGACTTGGGGTGGGGGGGGCAGAGCAAACAGAGGGGAGAATCCCCGTCCCCGGGCTGGCTTTCCAGGCAGCTGCAGCTGCCCTGGCCGCGCTCTCCTGCAGGAGGCCAGTTCTCCTCCAAACTGCAGAGGGAACCCTAGCCCCATGCTACTCAGCACAACAGTCAGCAGGCAGGCAGGAAGAGCTGACCAGCAGTCCTGGCAGCCCGGACAGCCACCACCAACCTCCGGCAGCGGGCAGAGGCAGAGCAGGTGGGTGGGCTCAGAGAAGAGAAGAGACCTGGCCGCCCAGATACCACCCCTCTGAACCGTCTGGGCCCCGGGCAGGGCAGCCTGGCATTTCCAGGTGCTGCCCGTGCAAACCCCAGCTCTACCAAGTGCCAAATGCCCTCAGTTATTTAAACCCTACCTGGGCAGATACAGAAACCCACCCAGCATGGGCCTCATGCCACCCAGGTGACAGCCACGGCAAGCCACCGTGGGAGCTCCCGCATTAAGTCTGTGGTATTTGGGAGGTGCCCTGCCCGGCTCCTCACAGCTGCCCACTTCCCCCTGCCCCCAGCTGAGGCAATCACACTCTGCGGGGCTCCCAGAGAAAGGCCCCAGGCACAAAGCAGCCAGGGAGACCCCTGTTACCTTGCACAAGCAGGTGGGTGGTGTGGACTGCCTCTCCCTGGATGCTGTATGCGCGACAGGTGTAGGCACCTCTGTCCTCCCGACTGACCGATGTCACCGTCAGGCTCCCATCACTCACCTGGGACCAGGGAGAGACGAAGCTCAGCACCACCTGGAGCCCGCCCAACGCCCCCCTCAGGCGGAGGGGGCTTCGGGGCTCATGCACTGGGGGAGACGGAGGAGGGGCCTCGTTTTTCATCTCCCTCCAACAACACACCCCAGCCAGTGTGCCTGCTGCTTCCATCTCCCTCTGTGCCTTTGCACAGCATCACTGGTCCCATGGAGAGGGAGACTGCCTTGGAGAGGGAGAAAGAGGCGAAGGGAGGAAGAAGGGAGGGAGAAGGGAGGGGGGGGGGCAGTGGCCCCACCAACAGCACACCTACCTGGTATTTCCCACTAGCACCTAGGAGTGTCCCCTCCTTGAGCCAGGTGACAATCGGCTTGGGGTTCCCAAAAGCTGTGCAGGTCATGGTGACACTGCCCCCCTCCTTGGCCTCAATGTACTGGGGGGGTGTTTCTGTAAAGGTGGGGGGAGCTGCAAAGAGACCGCAAAGGCTCAGGGTGTGATTCAAGGGCTACTGCCCCGCATGTCATACCCCCCCTACACCCCCTCCCTATCAGCCACCGCACCCACACCAGGCACCATGCCCCGGTGATCATTCCCGCACCAGGCACTGAGCCCACACCAGGCACCGCACCCACACCTTCACCACGCCCACACCAGGCACCGCACCCATACCAGGCACCGTGCCCCGGTGATCCTTCCCGCACCAGGCACTGAGCCCACACCAGGCACCACACCCACACCAGCACCGCGCCCACACCAGGCACCGCACCCAAACCAGGCACCGTGCCCCGGTGATCCTTCCCGCACCAGGCACTGAGCCCACACCAGGCACGGCACCCACACCAGCACCGCACCCACACCAGCACCGCGCCCAGCACCGCACCATACCAGGCACCGTGCCCCGGTGATCCTTCCTGCACCAGGCACTGAGCCCACACCAGGCACCACACCCACACCAGCACCGCACCCACACCAGCACCGCGCCCACACCAGCCACCGCACCCACACCAGGCACCGTGCCCCGGTGATCCTTCCCGCACCAGGCACTGAGCCCACACCAGGCACCACACCCACACCAGGCACCGTGCCCCGGTGATCATTCCCGCACCAGGCACTGAGCCCGCACCAGGCACTGAGCCCACACCAGGCACTGCACCCACACCAGCACCGCGCCCACACCAGCCACCGCACCCACACCAGGCACTGTGCCCTGGTGATCATTCCCGCACCAGGCACTGAGCCCACACCAGGCACCACACCCACACCAGCACCGCGCCCACACCAGCCACCACACCCACACCAGGCACTGTGCCCTGGTGATCATTCCCGCACCAGGCACTGAGCCCACACCAGGCACCACACCCATACCAGCACCGCGCCCACACCAGGCACCGTGGCCTGGTGATCATTCCCGCACCAGGCACTGAGCCCACACCAGGCACCACACCCACACCAGCACCGTGCCCACACCAGCACCGCGCCCACAACAGGCACCGTGCCCCGGTGATCATTCCCGCACCAGGCACCACCCGTGCAACCATTCCTCGTAGGCTCATGCCTGACCTTCTTCAAGGTGTACGGAGGGAGGAGGGGAGGTGGAGACATCCTCTGCCCATGAATCTTACACTGGGAGAGGAAACCTGGAATTCAAAGCGTGCCTGGCTGTGTCCAAACTCGACACATTTTCCGTTGTATTTGGCAAATTCCCAACAAACCCACGTTTGCTGAGCATCTGCAGGGAAGCACTGAGCTCAGCACTAAGACGGTGACAGACAAGACAGCTGTCCCCAGGCTCCCACAGAGCCCGCAGCTGCTGCCACCAGTTCCACAGACGTCCCATCACCCTCCCTTTCACCTCATGACCACGCGTGACACCCTGCTTCCTCGGCCCCAGCCCGGCCAGGTGTGACACCCAGACACTCGCCGCCTGCCTCCATCGGGGCCGTGAAAGCCAGGCTGCTACCTTCCTAACGCTCCTCTGACTATGCAAGGCTGCCCCCCTACACCACCACCTGGCCACCTGCGTTGGATTTTTAACTAAAATGCCATGGTGTTGGATAAAGCTTTTAAGAGCCTGGGCCGCACTTCTCAGAGCTGCCTATAGAGGCAGGATGGTCAGTCTTGCCGCCTGGGACCATCCGTTCTCTGAACACCAGCCCTGTGGGGCCGCAATGCCACGCTCAGCTCATCTCGAGGCATCCAAAGCTCAGGACCAAGTTCATGCACCAGCCTGCCCCTCGTTGGGTAACCCTGGGCAAGTAACTCAGCCTCTCTGGGCTTTTCCTGAAGCCCCCGCCCTCCAGGATCGATGTGAGAAATACATCTGTGTGGAAAAAAGGATCTTGTAAAATGTAAACATGCACAATCACTATCATCTCCTCAGGAGCCTCTGAAGCAATGAGAAGATTTCAGGGCATTTTAGCCTTGGTGCTCCCCTGCCCCTCTGCCAACCTCATCTATCATATTTCCTCCCCTTCTCTGTGCTCTAACCATATTGCCTTCTTTGTCTACCGCGAATGCGCCAAGAACATCCAACCGCAGGGCCTTTGCATGTGCTGTCCTCACTGCTTAGAGCTCCATACAATCGTCTCTCCTTTAGCTCATGCAGTTCTTTGCTAAGATGCCATCTGGCCTGGCCTGGTCAGCTGATCTGAGATGGCACTTCTAGCATTCCCTGCCCCTTAGCCTGTTTCATTTTCCTTAAAGCACTTACCACTACCTCTCCTTAAGAAAGCAGAGATTGCCTTAACTGGTTTGGCTCAGTGGATAGAGCGTTGGCCTGCGGACTCAAGGGTCCCAGGTTCGATTCCGGTGTAGAGCATGTACCTTGGTTGCGGGCACATACCCAGTAGGGAGTGTGCAGGAGGCAGCTGATCAATGTTTCTCTCTCATCGATGTTTCTAACTCTCTATCCCTCTCCCTTCCTCTCTGTAAAAAATCAATAAAATATATTTTTTTTAAAAAAAAAGAAAGCAGAGGTCTTGCCTGGCCAAGTGTGGCTCAATGGTTGAGCATCGACCCATGAACCAAGAAGTCACCAGTTCGATTCCCAGTCAAGGCACATGCCCGGGTTGCAGGCTCAGTCCCCAGTAGGGGCAGCTGATGGATGGGGTTTCTCTCTCATTGGGAGAGCAGAGATCTTTTCCACAAATCCCACCACATGCCCAGCTTTCAGCATAGTTCCTGGCATGTAATAGAGTACTCCACAAACATCTGTTGAATGAATGAATGAATGAATGAATGTGCATACACATGCACACACCTACAGACCAATACAAACAACACAAAAAACTCCCTAAGAGAATGAACACGACCATTTTCTCCCATAACCTCCTAAGCCCTTAGCTCAGCATGGGCACACGGGGACTCTGGGAGAGTGAATACTGAATGAATTGAGAAGCACATTCCATCACTCACACACAGACACACTCTACAGACATCCTCAAAGGAGGCAGTTCTCATCCAGTGTCTCCTACACCAAGAGTAATGGCAAAAATCATCCAAACCCTAAAAGGGGATCCTGTCCTCACTCCCAGGCCTCCCCTCCTGCCCCGAAATGTGCACTCACTTCCAGCAGACACCCCCCCTCCCCCGCCGCCTTCACCCCCTCACCCGCGCCCCCACCACCACCAAGCCTGCCCCTGGAAACACAGTGAATACAGCCACAGCCTCCACTGCCTCTGGCATCAAGCTTAAAAGAAAGATAATAAATTAAATTATGTCCTGAAGTGACAAATTAATTACTAATTACATAATTACTTTATTATTTAGGTGCTAATCAGGAAAGTACTTTGAACAATTTCAAGTTTTCAGGAAAATAATGGTTTGAGTCTGGATTATTTACTGAATTCGGTGTTAGCTTGCCAGCTGCGTTCCAGGCTTCATTCTTTTTTACAAGTGCCCTATAATTACCAGTGCAGGTTAGACATGGGCTGGCCTCGCCTCCAAGGAACTCACCAACCTAAAGGGAGGCTTGGCTGGGAGGAGGGGGTGGGGGGGCGCGGGGAGGCGGGGGAGGTATTTTGTATGTGATAAAGAAATAATTGGGTTTGTTTCCACACAACCGATCTTCAAGAAAACGCAGAAGGAGAAGGAGACAATTTGTAATTCTAATTTTTCACTGGCCTTTCCATTTTCCAAAGGTGATCCCTGTCAGAAAATGCCTGACATTAAACGTTCTAGTTTGGAAGCCATGGCGTGGTGGGGGCTCCAGCCTCCTCAGCCAGGACAGCATGTACGCTGGGATGAAGGGAAGGGAGAAGAAAGGAGATGAAGGGAAGGGAGAAGAAAGGAGAGAGGTCTCCCGCTCACGGTGGGAGCTGTCTGTGCCTGTTCTACCTATTTGGGAGGTAGGCTCCTTGGTAAAAGCAAGTGAGGAGCCTGGTTCTAAAGCCTGGAGCAGATGGTGCACATCCTTAGCTTTCCCAGCGAACACTCCTATATAAATAACCTGCCTGCGTTCCCTGAGCCCTGAGCGGGCCGGCTCGCCTTCCTCTGGGCTTCCGCGCATGCTGTTCCCTCTGCCTGGAGCACTCTTCCCCACCGCCCCACCCTGCACCTGGCTCACTCCCTGTCCCTGCCCGGTCTCTCTCTCTGCACAGGGTGGTTCCCCCAGAGACGCTCCCAAAGCCCATATCGAAATGTCTCTGGACGTGGCTGCCCACCGCTGTGCCCCCAGAGCCTGCCACAGAGCGGACGCTGGGATTTGAATGGGTAATGACTGGTGACGCACAAGCACTTTCAAACCATAACAGCCCTCTGCATCTTGCAGCCTGAAGTCCTTCCTGTGTCACCATATATCCCTGGGGCCACACTCTCCTCTGATTTCCTCTGTGTGTGTTTTGGTTTTTTTCTCTCGAGAAGGAAGATGGCCAGCATCTTACCCATAATTACCCCACAGGTCATGAACCCTTCAGACACCGGGCCAGGCACGTTCTCACACAGCGCTGCCCTTAATCCTCACGGCGGCTTTGCCGATAGGCATTGTGCTTGGTAACTGAGAAAACCGTGGCTCAGGGAGGTGACTTAAGTCGCCCAGGATCAGACAGCTACCACGTGATGGATTCATGACATCAACCAAGTGTCTGCAGCCTCTTATTCCATGCCGGTTCCACTCCGAGCAATTAGGAGTCCCCGAAGAATCGACTCCCACTCATGCAAACGAAGACAGAGGCTGTACCAAACACACAACCCTACTTCCTGCCCTGCAAGTAGTGTCTACGGACACCTGGGTCTCAGGCTGCTGAATGAACACCAGCAGGAGGACAGGAGGAGCGGGGGAGCAGGGAAGCTGAGCCGGTGCAGGAAGGGGCACAGGAGAGACAGAGCAGCGTGGGGACTCCTGGCTCAGCCTTCAGTGAGGCTTTCAGCCGCGGGTGTGCCTCCCTAATGATGTTTTGCTGGGGCTAATATTAAGATGAGTTTTCATTCCCGGCACACACAACAGCTTGCAGCCAAAGGAGGTGACTCAAAAGCTTGCCGGGTGGTAGGGACAGCCCACCCAGGATTTAAAGCCAGCCTCCCATCAGTCTCTGGGGGCTGGCTGACGCGAGCCGGCTGCTGCATCGAATGGGTCCGGCAGCCTGGACCAACACGGGCCCAGGCGGCCACCTCTAAGTCTGCTCTTCCCAGAGGTCAGGGCTCTGGCTCAAATGCTCTGTGCTCCCAGGACCCTGGATGGGTTGGCCCGCCAGACCCGAGCCCTGGGAGGACGACCTGGCCCCACAGGTGGGCAGACGGAGCCATCCCTCGGGGCAGGTTGGGGCAGATTGATGCTGAGAAGCATCCGAGTGGGACGCCATCCATCCCTCTCCCAACCACGGTACCTCCAGACATCAGAACCATGAGGACCCAGCTGTGTGTGCTCGCCCCAAGCCCATGCGCCGTCGAAGCCTCAGGAGCTAGCATAGTGTCTGCAGCACAGTGTGGCTGAATACATTTCGCCAAACGCTGAATAAGGAAGAGTGAGGGTCTAGCCAGAACAACAAGACACAAATATCTGCTCCCCCCGCACAATGGGGTTCACTCTCCTTCAATTGTTCCCCAGCTCCTCCTGCCTCCTCCAGAGGAGGCCTTCTCAAGTCAGGACGCCCAGTGACACAGGAGGCTCTCCAGCCGGGGCGACCCGGCCCCCCTGCCTGGGCCAACACAGAGCCAGCAGGCTCCCCTGCAGCCTCCGCCTGGGCCTCCTCGCCCGAACGCTGGAACAGCACGGCACACGGCACAACCCGTTTAGCCTGAGCTCTCCATAACTGACAGCCATTAAAACTGTTCCCCTTCCCAGGATCCTCCTGGTTTAGGAGACGGTAAACCCGGTCCGGGCAGGGGCTGAACCGGGTGCGCTCAGCTTCGTCTTCCCAGCACCTGGTGCAGAGCGCGGCGCACAGTAGGCCCTCAGCACATCTTACGCAAATGAATGCATTTCACAAGGAACCAAAATGTCACCCTGCAAAGGAAGGCAGTAATGGGGGGACTCTGGGAACTCCACTGGAGGGGGGGAGGCACTTCCTGGCTGGCAGGGTCTCTCCGAGGCTGGGAATGGTGCCTCCACCAAGCCTTAGTCCCGGTTTCAAGAACCAGATGCCTTCCTCCCAGTAAGGGAGGAATCACCCCGCCCCCCACCCCCACCCACACACACACACACAGCACACCCCTGCCCCGCGCCCAGGGAGCAGCTCCTCCAGGCTCCCACTGACCCGAGGCTCAGGGGAGGCAGCTGAGGGGGGCCCAGCGTGCTGAGGCTCCTCTCTGCAGCAGGGACTGGGAGTAGCGATGGGGTGCCGCCCGAAAAGAGGCTTCCCCTCCAGCGGGCCCTCAGGCAGCAGGCTTCTGGGGGCTCCCGGCCCGGGAGGAGGCCCGTACTCACCGTTGATGGTGAGGTGCACCCAGCTGCCGTTGTGGAAGGTATCATACTGCTGGTCCAGCATGAGCACTTTGCACTCGTACCAGCCCTGGTCCTCAGAGCGAACCTGCTCCAGCCGCAGCGAAGCTTTGTCGTGAAGACTCGCTCGGCCTGGGGACAGGCAGACAAGAGCCCAGGGGTGAGGCCCACACCTCGTCACCCCACCTCGGCTAAAGGCACAGGCCCCATCGTCACCTGCAGGCCATTTCCGGGGGCAGGGCCCAAAATAACAGCTGGCCCTGACCTCTGGCCGCAGGTGGCAAAGGAAAAGGCATAAAGCAGTGGTTCTCAACCTTCTGGCCCTTTAAATACAACTCCTCATGTTGTGACCCAACCATAAATTTATTTTCGTTGCTACTTCATAACTGTAATGTTGCTACTGTGATGAATCATAATGTAAATATCTGATATGCAGGATGGTCTTAGGTGACCCCTGTGAAAGGGTCGTTCGACCCCCAAAGGGGTCGTGACCCACAGGTTGAGAACCGCTGGCATAAAGCCTCAGCCATGGAGTCCCAGTCCCTCCCACTCTCCAGCCTCAGTGGGCCCCATCCCAGCTGCAACTGCCTCCCTGCTCTTGGCACTGAGAAGAGCTCAGGCCTTAGAATGCGCCCCTTCTTTCGAACATCGCTAGGGACAAAGGGAAGGCATGAGGGATACAGAGATGAGGGGGAAGAGGGAGGGAGAGAGGGAGAGAAAGGGAGGGAGGGGAGAAGAGAGGGAAGGAAGAGGCCAGGCCCCAGAGCACTTCCATTCAGGTGGAGTAACACCCCTATCCCAGCTGGGCCCCGCGCCCCATACCCCTTCTGTCTGGCAGAGGGAAGGCAGGCTGGGGACCAGGGTGCTAGGACCCCTCCCAGCCCTGATACCAGGGCTGGCAACATGCTGGTCCAGCCAGGGCCCAGGGCCCCAGGAGCCGAGGCCACAGGCCTATGAGCTGGAGATTGAGGACAGGGCTGGCCAGCAGAGCAGACACCCAGCGGCCTCCGTAACTCTACCCTCTTCCCCCCAGAAGTCATCCTTGGCTCGCTGAAAGTTTGTCTCACAGCTCTAGAAGGTAAGCTTGGCAGCAGGAGCCCAGCAGAATGGGGAGCGGCCCCCCTTTCTCCAGGACAAGGGAGGAGGCCCGGGCACCCTCAGGCCCTCTCTCCCCTCCCCCACCACCTCAGCCGGCCTCACTCCAATGTCACAGCCTCCTCCGCCTTCCTCCTGTCTCCGCACTGGCAATCTGCCTAAAGCCAGACTATCAAAGCCAGCCGGGCCAGAGAGACGAAAGGAGACACAGGCACAGGAGGGAGGGAGAGAAACGGAAGTTTTCCGAGAGAAAAGCGGTGCAGACTCAGGAGCCAGAAGGAAAGATCAAAGCAGTGTCCTGCCAGCTTCCTCCCGTCCTTTAAACCCCAACGCACAGGCACACACACGCTCACACAGGCACACGCTCACGCACGCACACGCTCACACACGTACACATTCACACAGGCACACGCTCACACAGGCACACACTCACACATGCACACGCTCACACAGGCATACACGCTCACACTCACACATGCACACGCTCACACAGGCACACGCTCACATACGTACACACTCATACAGGCACACACTCACACAGGCACACGCGCACGCGTGCACACGCTCACACACGTACACACTCACACAGGCACACACGCTCAGACTCACACATGCACACGCTCACACAGGCACACACACTCACACACATGCACACGCTCACACAGGCACACACGCTCACATACGCGCACACACACATGCATATGCTTACACATGCACACACTCACATGTTCACACATACACAAGCACACACTCACATACTCACATGCTCACACACACTCACACTCATGTGTTCAAACACACACAAGCACACACTCACATGCTCACACGTGCACACCCCCCACCTCCCCACCAAGGCCGGGGGCAGGCACAGACAGTGACTCAGTGTGGCCGCCGCTGGCAGGAGCAGCTGTGGCAGAGAGCAGGCGGCCACCACAGGCACAGACACACACTGACACCCAGGAGGGAAGGAGGCCCAACTTCAGCGCGAGAGGGAGGTGTGGGTACAGGCAGACGCAACACCACAGCTGCACACGACCAGGCTCGGTGGCTGTGACTCAGCTCCTCCCGCACAGAGCTGCCCTCCTGGCCTGCCCCCCCCACCCCCACCCCCGACTCCTGCTTCCTGCCTGCATCACCTCCCCTCCCTCTCTCCCCACCATGGAATCAAAACCTACCAGAGTCCAAAGGACAGGAAGGAAGAGGCAGAGACTGGAAAACAGCTCTCAGACCCATGAGAAGAACAGAGGAGGCAACAGATAAAGGCAGGAGGAAGCTTAACCACCGGCCCCACAGGGGAGGGGAGCCAAAGGCGAGGACAGAGGCCAAGGGGCCAGACCGTACCTGCATACTCAGGGTCCACGTGGGGTGGGTAGTAGCCGAACTTGATGAAGATAGGGATGGGCACCCCAAACTTGAACCACTCCACAACATAGGGCGGGGGCTGCCCAGTCACCGGGTGGATCACGTCGCATCGCAGAACCACGGCCTCGCCAGCTCGCGCCGTCACAAACTCGGGCTCCTCTCGCAGGCCGTGGGCAGCTAGGGGACAGCAAGGCTGGGATTTAGAAAAGGAGGCGGCAGGAGGTCCTGCCCTGGCGACCCCAGAGGCAGCCCCCTGCCCACGTCCAAAGACCTCTGCCCTTTCCCCGGGCCGGCTATCCCGCAGCCCTCCTCCTGAAGAGGAGCTCGCTCACCCCCCAGAGGGTCCCCAGTGCATCTTCCACCTCCCCCCCCCCCCACCCCGCCAACCATGAACCTCAGGAGAAGAGGAGGGGGGAAGAGCAGAGGGAGGGAGTTCTCTCCAGTCCTGCAGGCCAGCCCTACACCCCCCAGAAGAGCGAAGCCATTTCCAAGCCCTCCCTGTGACACCCCCCGCCCCAGGAATTCTAAGGGGTCTGGACACTGAGAAGATGGAGGGACCTCAGCAGACCCGTGGCCAGGGCCGCTATGGCCGAGGGTGGATTCAGACTATCTCCCTGCACCAGGAGGCTTCGCGCCAGAGCCTGGTGGCGCTTCCTGCCTCCTCCCGCCCCTCCTCCTACACCCACCCCACTCAGTCTGATGTTGGCAGCACAAAACAAGAGTGCTCCACACAGGAGCAGGGAATCCCTACAAGCTGAGCAGAGGCTGCTAGGGGCGACACTAGAGAGAAAAGCCCAGCCAGGCCTCTCCTCCCACTCCCTGCTGGGCCTGCAGTGGAGGGTAGGGGGAGCTCCAGCTCTCCCGGTTCCAAGCCCCAAACCCATCATGCTGCAAAGCCCCACATATCACCATTAGGAGAGCGGGGTGCTGGGGACAGAGGGGGCCCTGGGCCCGCTAACCCCAGCCAGCTGAGGGGAAAACACCATTCCATGAGCAGAGGACAAACCATACAGCTGGACAGGGTGCACCCATCCTCCTGGCAGCGGAGGGGGACACAGTGAGAAGACCCACCCCACCCCTCAAGCTGGAGGTTAACCCAGACACTGCTTCACACGACCCGACAGCAGGCTCCTGGACCCCTCAATGCTAGAGCCCCGAAAGGACATGTGCAGCCCCCACCTCCCGCCGGACACTCCTCACTCCCACACCGGCCTCCGTGCCCACAGAGTCACCTTGTCCAGCTTACTTCCCAACCAAAGGGGCAGCGGAGGAAGCCTCCCCATCCAGCCTTCCCTCACACCTTCCAACACAGCCCCGAGGAGAGCAGGGCTTCCCGCATCCCACCCGCTTCCCGTCCCGGTCCCTGCAGGCAGCACCATGGACAGCAGCTGCTCACTGAGGCTGGAAAGCAGGGAGCCACTGGGCCCGCCCACTACTGCATGGAGAGGATGCCCAGAAGAGCAGTCTGTCTGTCTGTCTGTCTGTCTGTCTGTCTGTCTGTCAGCTGCCTCTGGTTCTTCATACACCTCTGACCCCTGTGTGCCCCTGCCTGTCTCCTTCCTTCGTCTTTGTCTCTCCTTCATGCCTCTCTGTCTTTCTCTAGTTGTCACTGCCTCTGCAGTGTCTGTCTGCTCTTTCTCGCTCCTTTCCCGTGTCTCTATGTGTCTCTCTCTCTTTGTGTCTCTGTCTCTCTAGCTCCCACTCTCTGCGGGTGATTCTGTCTGCTTTCCTGGCTCCCTGTTTCAATGTCTCTATCAGAGTGTGTGCATGTGTGTGTGTGTGTGTGTGTGTGTGTGTGTGTGCGTGCGTGTGAGTGTTGGAGGGGGGCACATGGATTTCTGTTTGGCTGTGCATGGGGAAGGGGTTCTGCCCGCTTTATTTCCCCTGTGGGCCTCTGTCGGTGTGTGCTCGTGTGTTTCCGTGTTCCATCGCGTTCTGTGTCTGTCTGTCTATTGTCGGTGTGTCTCCCGGTGTCTCTCCTTCTCTTCCTCCCCCTCCCCCACCCCTCTCCAGCTTCTCCCCTGCAAGTTGCAGAAGGAGGAGGAGGCAAGACCTTCCGGAAGCTGATTGGCTACCAGTGACATCACTGTTTTCTAGAGAAAGAGCTAAGATCACAGAGTATTTTTGGAGCAGAGTGTTGCACTCACCTGCCTGAGGCCCCAGCAGGTTTCCCAGCTCCCCACCCCCAGCCCTGCTGCAGACTCAGTGTGAATTCCAGCCCCTCAGGGAAAGCATGAAGCGGCCCTGCTGCAGCGGTGCCTCCCCCACAGCCCCAGGGGCACCCTGATCGGGCAGGGCCTGCCTCCCAGCGTCTATGAGCACAAAGGCTGATCTGCACCCAGGAGGAATGGGCTACCAGTGAGAGGGAGTCAAGTGCATGTGCATGTTTGTGCATGTGTGTGTAGCTCTTGGCAAAGGGACATGTGGATGTGTGTGTGCACAGGTGTGTGCACATGTGTGTGCAGCACAGACTTTGGAGGAAATGAAAAGAGGAAATACAGAATGGTGGGGGGAGGAGTTATTCCTAGAGGTGGGGGGGATGGGCACTGTCCACAGAAGGGGGCTCCTTCAAGGCCTTGGCACTAGAGCCTAGGGCAGGAGAAAGAGGGAGCGAACCCTGCTGGGCAGGTGGCTGCCCACCTCTGCCAGTGGGCTGGCTCTAGAGCTCTCTGGCTACTGGGGTTGAGGACCCTGTGGGGCAAGCCCAGGAGGGGGGTGGGCTCTGTGCTCTGGCATGGGTTCCCACGGTGCCAGCTGCTCATTCACACCTCCTGATGCCACCTTCTCGCTGCATGGCAAGGAGGCAGCCTGGTTCACACCTCACCCAGTACCTGGGCCCAGGTTTCCATCCCACCCCCAGCCAGCCCCTGGGCCTGGGCGGCCTGGCATCCAGAGAGGCTCGCCCTCCCCCAGCCAGGCAGCCACATTCCCATCTCTTCTCAAGGACACAAGCAGCTGAAAGAGGACACGGTGAGATAAGCATCCCAAAGATGGGAAAAGGCAAGAGATGGAATTCCCCAAGAAGAAGGCAGAGGCCCTGCCTGGCCCCCAAACTCAATCCCACCCTCCTGGCTCTCTGAATCCTGAACTATTTATCAGCTTTCTTCATCTCCATCCCCCTCCCCCCCCACACACACACACATGCACACGCTCTCTCCCTCCGTCACCACAAGCGCTTCTCCCTAAGCCGGATTTTTTCTGAGCCAGAACATGTCTAATAAACACTTTGTACCAAAAAGGTCGCTACCAAAAAAAAGAAGCAGACAGGTTAGCAATGAAGAGGGAAGAGGGCTTGATAGAGGAGGGATGGGGCCTCAAACCCAGGGGACACCCACTGAAGCCAAAGTGGGAAAGGGATTCAAGAGGCAAAAAAGGAGAGACACAGAGATGGGTATAGTGCAGATCAGACAGGCAGGGCCCAGCCAGCCCAAGGGGAGGGATGAAGGGGGGAAGAGAGAGAGAGAGAGAGAGAGAGAAACTCACGGGCACTGAAGACTCAGCCACAGGGACATACACACAGGCCTTCAAAGCACCCAGAACCAGGAGGGCCAGAGAGCCGAGGCTGTTCCTCCAGGGAACAGGTGGGCTTCTCCCAGCAGAGCTGACGGGAGTAACTGCCCACTGGTTCTGAAGGGAGCAGGAAGGAAGGGGGAGGAGGGAGAGAGGGAGGGAGGGAGGAGGGAGAGGTGGAAGGGAGGAGGGAAGAGGGAGGAGGGCGGGGCAGGGAGAGGGAGAGGCAGGGAGGATGGGGCAGGGGGGAGGGGAAGAGAAGGATGGATGTGACCTGAGGTGGGGAGAAGCTGCAAGAAGGACAGAGACCCCCCCAGACCCCCTTCCCCATCACAGGAGCCTGAGCAGCCCAAAGAGGGGGCTGCAACCTCTTAGAGAGAAGCTGGGACATGCAGGGGTGAGGACAGTGGGAGGCTGTGAGGTGTCCTGGATTTCACAGGCCGGGTTCAGAGAAGGCGGAACACAGCAGTGCCCCAGCCCAGCCAATCTGCACCTTGGGGTCCTGCCAATCCCCTGTGGAGCTGTTCTACCCCAGGAGGGAAAGGGGAGGGGGGGGCGAAGGAGGAGGAGGCGGCACCTGCAGTCTGGCTGACCTTTGAAAGCCCACGGGGTACAAATCTCCTGCTCCCGGGGCCAGGTGGTCCACGGCGGGGGCCCGAGTCCATGGCTGCCATTGGATCCCGTGAGCACAGAACCACGAGGCCACGAGGTGACCAGGGCCTGGCTCGGCCCCACACCTGACATTCACCACCTGGAGCTCTCCCAGGGCAGGGCTGTGGGAGGCAGGGCACTGGCGTGGGAGACACTCCTAATATCAGAGAAGGTACTGGCGCCAGTGCAGAGAGCTCCCGCTTCCTCTGCCCACCTGCCATATGCCAGGCCCTGTGCTGGGCATGTAACACGGAGCTCACTTAATGGCCACGGTGCCCACCTGGCAGAAGCACTGCCATTGCCATGTCACAAACCAGCAAGCTGGGAGGCTCCGCGGCTCAGCCAGGTCACTCAGGTGGCCGCTAGGGCAGCCTGCACGCCCTCTTGGCTTCACTCATTGGTGCCATCCTGCCGGCCACAGGCCAGGCACCAAGCCCTCTCCCCACTGCACCCAAAGCATGCCCCGCTGTCCCTCCCCACCTCCCCTCTCCACGGCATGCTCTGCAAGGCTCTCCAGCCAGGCTCCTGTAACCGGGACCCGGCCAGAATGATGGGGCGGACATTGCAGAAGGCAGTTGGCCGACGTGGGCTGGCTCGGAGCTCAGTGTCACTGTACCTGGCCCAGGAGCCTCCGGCTGGATCTGGCAGCCGCCGTGGTGAGGGAGACCACGAGGAAGCGCTGCCCTCAGGAGGCCAGGTCCTCTCTGGAGCCTCCTCCTGTCTTCCTGCTCCTTCTCCCTTCCCCCTCCTCCTCTGGGCACCAGACTCCCAAACCACAGGCCTGCTGTCTAATAATACGAGTGGCAGCCACTGCCACCTCCACTGCCACCTAAAAATAATCTCTGCTGAGTCCAAAAAAGGCACAGCCCCTGGAAGCCCCCCAGTCTTTCCCCCCTGACCAGCCAGGAGGCTCCCGGAGACTCCAGGGAGCGGGCCCTCAGGCGCCCAGGGAGGCGCTCGCCCAGAAGGAGGGCGGGCGGCAAACAGAAGACAGACTCCCTGCTGTCCACAGGGAA